GCCCTCGAACAAGCCGGAGGACGTACCCAACACGTTTAGGCATGTGGCGAGTATACATCGGATCGCTCAATACAACAACAACCATTGAATGATCCGCAATGCCATTGGACGCTACGCCAGAGAACGTCGGACCAGAACCAGATGTTTCACATATGCGGTGTCACTCTTAAGAGACAGGTCGCTGGCGGAGGAGGGGCGATTGAAGACATACTTCGTGGGAGTAGCAGCGCCTTGCGCTGCGTTCGCATTGCAGGACACCGCTCTGCGCGCTATGACCATACAGCGCCTTGCGCTAAACGTAGAATGTGCCCGCATGCATTACAAGCAACAGGTAGCTGAAGAAAGGATGCGGTATGGGCAACGGACAGCGCCATGCGCTACTCGCTGCGCGGCGCTCTCACACGACGCGTCGCTCAGCGGGCCCCCAAAAAACCCCATCGCACCCCCCCGCTGGACGGCGAGGTCTCGCGGTGATCCGCGCAGGACGTACCTCCACAGGGCCTCCCAGAAGCCCACGAAAGTGGCGACAAATTCGCAGATCGCAGCGCCCCGGGGGGGCGGCCTGGCCTCGTGGTGATCCGCGTAATACGTACCTCCGCTGGCCCTCCCAAGTACCTACAAACGTGGCAGCGGTTTCGTAGATCACGCCCCCCCCCCGTGGACGGCGAGATCTCGCGGTGATCTGCGTATGCCGTAAATCCGCTGGCCCTCCCAAGCGCCCACGAACGTGGCGACGGTTTCGTAGATCGCAGGCCCCCCAGCGGACCCCGAGGTCTCGTGGTGATCTGCGTATGACGCACCTCCGCTGGCCCTTCCAGAAACCCACGAAAGTGGCGACAGCCTCGTAGGTCTCAGGCCCCCCAGGGGACGGCGAGGTCTCGTGGTGATATGCACATGACGTGCCCCCGCTGGCCCTCCTAGGGGCCCACGAAATTGGCGACAGCTTCGTAGATCGCAGGCCCCCCAGGGGACGGCGAGGTCTCATGGTGATCTGCGTATGACGTACCTCCGCTGGCCCTTCCAGAAACCCACGAAAGTGGCGACAGCTTCGCATATCGCAGGCCCCCCCCAGGGGACGGCGAGGTCTCGTGGTGATATGTACATGACGTGCCCCCGCTGGCCTTCCCATGGGCCCACGAAATTGGCGACAGCATCGTAGATCGCAGGCCCCCCAGGGGACGGCGAGGTCTCATGGTGATCTGCGTATGACGTACCCCCGCTGGTCCTCCCAGGAGCCCTTGAAATTGTTGACAGTTTCGCAGATCGCATGCCCCCCAAGGGGACGGCGGGGTCTGGTGGTGATCCGCGTAGGACGTACCTCCGCTGGCACTCCCAGAAGCCCACGAAAAAAATACAGCCTCGCAGACCGCAGCCCCCCAAAGAACGGCGAGGTCCCGTGGTGATATGCATATGCCGTAGCTCCGCTGGCCCTCCCAGAAGCCCACGAAAGTGACGACAGTTTCGTAAATCACAAACCCCCCAGGGGACGGCGAGGTCACAAGGCAGGGAGGAGGAGGAGGAAGAAAATAAGGAGGATAATGTAAGGAGAAAGAAGGAGGGGGATCAGGAGGAGGAGGAGGAGGAGGAGGAGTAGGAAATGGAAGCCACAGAGCTCTTTTCAAAACGAGAACCCAACCAAGGCAAGGTTGGACAAAAACATCCATGTTTGAAAATCCTGCCATCATGTTGGTCAGCATGGTTTCCCTTGCCTGCGCTCTTGCTTGTTCACTCTGGCCCCGGCTTCGCTTCCACGCCGGCCGCGTTTCCACTTCAAGCGGCTTGGCTCGCGCTTCTGCTCAAGGGGGAAGCTGACGCACGGCGAGCAGCATCACGCAGGCCTTCAATGTTTTGTGGCACGGAGCCCTCAATGTTCTTGGGCCAGATCTTTTCCACTACCTCGGCGAGATTCGCCTTAGATGCCCCGTCAGTGTTGGTGGTTACCTTTGCTTCCTGTAGGCTGGGGCTCTCCCCCGCCAGCTTTCCTTGAAAGCATGGGGGCCCGCTGTTGCGGTGCAGGCAGGACCAAATGGAATGGGGCACTGCCGCCAAGACCACCGCCAACTGTTTGATTGATCCTTCTCGGGGCCGCTCTGCTCGAACTTCTGCACCAAGGTGTCCGCGTCAACCTCAGCTTGCGACTTTCCACCCTCCATGTGATCACAAGCCAAAAGTACCAGTGCTTGGGCTGGTTTTTTGCCTCCACCAGGTCGGCCACGTGCTTGCTGCGTTTCTGCTTCACCTCGTCCAACTCCTGGACCGCTACCTCTACCTTCGCCTGTTTATACGCGACTGCCTCAACCTGTTTAACGAATCGATTATCGGAGCGCTTGGCCTCGGGTCTGGCAATCCGCAGCTTCGCGTCCAGCGGGTTGGTGTCGTGCAAGTGCCGTCGCAGGCCATCCAGCTCGGTGTGATACGTGTTGATCAAATCATCATAGTCCTTGCCACCGTCGCGGGATTTAAGGTTCGTGGCCTCCCTCGCGAGGAAGTCGCCCCCCTTGCGCTCGGCAGCCCCAAATGTGGTGTTACCTCCGCTGCCACTGCTGCCCTCGCTGTCGTCGGCCTCCATGCACGCGCTGCCGTTGGGCCTCTTGCCCTGCGCCTTCTGGAGCTGCTTCTTGAGCCCGACATGTCTCAAGCTTGAGCGTGCTCTCCATGACGCCACGCGCGCGCATGGACGGGTCCCTCCCGAATCGGTTGCATCCGAAGCTCTCGCCCCGGTGAATATGGCATCTCGTGCACTTGTCCGCCACTGCTGGGTTCCACCACCGCTGGCCGTGGCAGTTGATGTACCCCTTGCATCAGAACGAATCGGGCCTCGAACTGTCTGCTCGATTGCAGATACTCAACCTTGCCGACTTTCCTGCAATTCTGAGCTCGCGACTAGAAATGCCAGTCCAATCGCACCGATTCTACGGTATCTGCTCCCCGTTGAAATCACAGACTGGCCAGCGCGGGATGGGATACCGCGGGCTCGCGGTATCCGTTCCCTGCCTCGCAGACAGGCGCATCCTGAGCCAAACTGACTATGGAGGGAGAGGAGGAGGAGGAGGAAGAGGAGGGAGAGGAGAAGGAAGAGAAGGAGGAGGAGGAAGGGGATAAAACGGACGAGTCGGCGGATGAGGTTTGAAATGGTGAGGAGGCTGAGAGAGAGAGAGAGAGAGAGAAATTGGGAAAGGTAGTGGAAAGGAAGAAGATGAGGGAAGGACGGAGGGGGGAAGGGAGGAGGGAAGAGGAGAAACGGCAGGAGAAGGGGAGGATGAACAGGTGGACGGGAGGAGGATGATGATGATGAGGAGGAGGAGGAGGAGGACGAGGATGGGAGGAAGAGCAGCAGGAGAAGGAGGAGACGACGACCGTAGAGACGGAGGAGGAGGAGGAGGAGGAGAAGGAGGAGGAGGAGGGGGGAGAAGGAGGAGGAGCAGGAGGAGGAGGAGGACGAGGAGGAGGACGAGGAGGAGGAGGAGGAGGGGGGAAGGGACGGAACGCACGCGCCGGCCGCCCTTTCCCAAAGGGGTCGCGCGCGCAGGCGCACTCACGCCGAAGCCAAAGCACGGCACAGCTCCCGCGCTCGCGCATGGGCCGCACGGCCCGCGGTGGAGGAATCGAGCACAGGGGGGTCGCCACGGGCGTCCCTGGCCCACGCTGCCGTTTTCGGGTCCCAGGGGGCCCCTCCATGGAGGCCATGGGCCTGAGAGGCGATGCCCGACGTGCCGATTTTTCCCATGCGGCCCCCCCCGAAATCCCTGTCCTTTTCGCGGGGGCTGGCTCCCATCCTGAGCCGTCTTTGACGGGCCCCGAGCCCAGCGAGGGCCCCTGAGCATACGTCCGAGCCTGGGCCTCCCTGGACATCCCCGAGGAACACCGTGGGCGAGAGGGTCTCCCGTGGCGGCACGCAGGAGAGCGAGAGGGGCGCACGCGCAGCCGGAGGAAAAGTGCAGTCGGGAGGCCAGTCGCTCGGACGACAGTCCGGGTGTCGAGCACGCGGCCTCGGGGGCTCCTGGTCGGAGCTGACTGCCTACCAAGCCACCCCAACCCAACCCGAAGACCCAAATTTGACCCGAATTTCGGGTTGGGGGGGTACGGGTTCCATGTGCTTCTTCAGTGTTCCCCGACGCCCCCCCCAACTGGAAATGGAGGGCGAATTGAGGCCTTCGGGTTGGGTTGGGATGGTTTGGTGAGCGGTGAAGAGCGGGGGGCGAACCGATAAAGCAAGGAGCAGCTGCGCAAAAGCCATCGGCCCAGCACAGGGGACCGCTGGACCAGGAACGGACAAGCTTTTTTTCTGGTCACGGCGAGCCTCGGCCGCGCATCGGCTCCCCGACGCAGGCCCGAGGAACGGCTCGGAAGCCAGAGCCCCTCCTGAGCCCAAGTTGACCATTACACGATGGGCCTGTTTTCCACTACCACCACCGCCATAAGTTGGAGGGGGAGGGAGTCCTCCTCCTCCTCCTCTAACTCATCCTCCTCCTCATCCTCGTCCTCGTCCTCTTCTTCCTCCTCCTCCTCCTCCTCTTCATCCTCCTCCTCCTCCTTCTTCTCCTCCTCCTCCTCCTCCCCCCTCCAACTTATGGTGGTGGTGGTGGTGGTGGTGAACAGGCCTATCATTACATATATGTATATATATATATGTACACATATATTCAGCGTCGTGGCTGAACCCATAAACTTTCGGAAGCCCGCGCGGATTTTGTAGGATCGGCGCTGGGCCCACCTACAGGTGCCCTCGGCGCCGCGCCAAGCGCGCTCGGCGCACAGGGAGGGAGGTTTAGCGCCAATCCAAGAAAGTCGCGCGGACGTCCAAACCAAAATGTGTATGGCTTTGTCTTCCGAGAGCTTAGAGAACAGTGGGGGAGTATTTTATATTTGGACGTGGGTTAGCGTAACGCCGAGACTCCTTCGGAATGCGGGGGAGGGGAGGGAAGAGGGAGTGGAAGGGAGGGATGAAAAGGGATGAGGAGCAGGAGGAGCGAGTTTATGAGGATGCCTGCTCGCTGATACGAGCAGTGAGAGGAGAAGGAGAGGGGGAGGAAGGAGGAGGAGGAGTAAGAGGAGGAGAGAGAGAGCCATCGACCCCGCTCGCTGGAGCCCCTGAAGCGGCATGGCCGGAAATCCCTACGAATACACGGCCGAAGCAGCCAGAAAATCGGCCTGGCCAACAAGGCCAGCACAGCCAGTCCCCCGCCGACCTGCGTGCACCACCCGCTCAGTCCGTCGCAGCCGCGGGCTTGCTGGCCGCACCGTATCCGCCAGACTCAAGCGGCTCCTCCTCCGAAGCTAGGAAAAAAGAAACGGCACGATTGCAGCACGGCGGTGGGCAATCCGAGGGATATAAGATATAAGAACCACCTCGCTGGGGCAACATCGCCTGGAGAACGTTCGCCGAGGCTCGACCGGCCCCGTGGAGACGCTTCGTCACCGCAGGGGTCGGCTGGGTCTGGACGTGGCCGACAGAGGCTTCTCGGGTCGGCCTGGAGGTGCGTGGCCCTGGCGCTCCCAGAGAGGCGCCGCCGAGGGGTGCTGAGCCCAGCGCCGACCAAAAAGATCCGCACAGAACTCCGAAAGATAACCAAGAAGCTCGAACACACACACACACACACACACAGACAAGCACACACACAGACAAGCACACGCACACGCACACGCACACACAGACGAGCACACACACACACAGACAAGCACACACAGACAAGCACACACACAGACAAGCACACACAGACAAGCATACGCACACGCACACACACAGACAAGCACACGCACACGCGCACACACACACACACACACACGCACACACACACACACACACACAAACACGCACACACACACACACACACACACACACGCACACACATGGCCGTACTCGCTCGTGGAACACGCGGGATGCACGTGCTGGGCACACTCGCCAGAGGGCCAGCGTGCTTGGCCGGGCGAGGACCGAGCGAAGGGAATAGATGCGGCCGCGCGTGTGTCCGGCTCTCGCACGACTCGAACTCCTGGATCCAAACACCGTGGAGCCGCCGCCAATGAACCTCCGCTGGCTTCCATCGACCGCCCGCCGAGGCCGAGGAAGGCGTCGAATACGAGGGCGTTTCTGGTGCGCGCCATGCGCTGGGACGCGAAAGGAGATACCAGCACTATGTGTCCTCCTTCGAGGCGCGCGTTCGACCCTACCAGATAGTAGACCCATCTTGTAGTATATCGTTTCCCGAGCGGTGCGGCAAGAAAGGGACCGCCAAGGGCATATACTAGAAGGTTTCTCGGCGTGCACGTCGCCGCAGGGGGGGCGACGCACACACAGTATTAGTAGGTTGGGGTGGCCAGAGTACCGATAGCCCTACTCCCCGCACCTCTCCCAGGGTGCACTCTGATCGGATTTCAAGGAGAATCAGGCCTTGGGGACGCGGGCCCTCCAAGATGAGCAGTAGTATCGGTACCTTTCTATGCTCTGATTCCTGGCATGCCTGCTCCGATATTCAAAGCTCGCCGATCCTTATCGGATCCGACCAGCTTGGCCTCCTCGCCCTTGGCGGTGAAGTTCGTGAGCTCCACGCCGCTCGTCTCGGGCAGCCTGCTCGCGGCAAGCGCGGCCACGCCCGCGAGGCATGCGCACGCGACCAGGAACCCGTGCTGCGACGTGTTGACGACGACCTGCCACCAGCGCCGAACAATACATCTGTGTCAGGCAAAGCCAGAACCGGGACAACATCCGACCAGGGCAAATCGGGGATCTCTGAGATGCGGCGGCTCTGGAAAAGGTGTCGAACGCCGCGCGGCCGCCTCAGAGCGCTCCAACACGGTCAAAGACCGTTCAGGAACGCTCTGGAACGATTTATCCCGATCCTGGCCCCGACGGATCGCATATCGGCGCAACGTCTCCCTGTATCTGGAGGGCGTTCTGCCCAAGTGACCAGACTGCGAGGCTGCGGATATGCATTTGTTGTTAAACAGATCAGAGTCCCGATCATGACAATGGCCAGCTATCCCAACTGGTGGGAAAGGAGATTCTACCATGACGTGGATATGGATTTGTCTCCCGCTGGCGAGCCTGGGCCACTTCGGACCCGAAGCGTCCGAGGAAGAAGCTCAGCGAGAAGGCCCAGCCGCGCACCTGTCTGGCGCACGCGGAAGAGGGGGCCCGGACGACGGCAGTTCTGGTAGAGGCCTCCCAGGCGGGGTCACACGATATGGGGTCGGAGGATCGCGCCGCATCGCCGATGCATCGGCAGCGTTGACGACGTCGGCGATGCATGGGCGACGTGGGCGTGGACGGAATCGCGGTCCACATCAAGCGATCCTCCGACCCTGACCGGGAGGCCCAGGGGTCACGACGTATCAATGCCCGAGGCGCGTGCGCGGACGAGGGGGGGATAGGGAACGAGTTGAAAGAAGAAATCGAGGGGACATGAAATCAATGGGAGAGTTCGTTCCCTCTGTAAAGACGTCCGCACGTTTTTTTTTTTCTCGGCGAAGGCCGGCCGGGTTAACGTCACCGCATTCACGTCCTACGTATTGGTAACGTGATTCGCCGCACTCTGCGGCGATGAGAATCAAGGACCAAAAGCAACCCATAAGCGGAGGGAGGAAAGGAGAAGGAGGAGGGAGTGAAGCCAGCTAGCCAATGATACGAATCTTCCTCTGGCCTGCCGAGGCGTTGCGCGGCAGACCCCTTACTGAATGGCCTAGTCGGCCGACCCAGTAAAACCCACACAAAAAGAGACTAGAGGAAACGTATCCTACCCCAATGGCTGCAGAGAAGCTGTGAAGCTATTGGCCCCCAGGCCGAGCGAAAGCAGAAATGCTGACAGTGCAAATGTAAGTGCAGCGATGCGCGAGACCAGTGGGCAGACCAGGCCCGGGGAGAGGGGAGGAGTGAGCGAGGAGGAAGGGAGGACAGGAGGGGGGAGGGAAACGCGAACGCGCGGCCGAGCTGGCGCGCCGAAGTACGACCGAATGGAGAATACAAAAATCTTTCACAAACAACTACACTAAATGATGTCGAGATGGCGTTCTAGCTTGCAGGCGCGGGTCTTTTCAAAACGATTTGGACGAGGTGCCGGGCTTTCGGGTGACCCCGGGCCGCATCGCGAATAAAACCGCGGAATGCCGCTTGCCCGTCGGCGCCCGGGAGACCATGCCTTATCGCATTGTGCGTCTTGTACAACGCGTACACACCTATCGCCCGGAGGGCCGCCGCATTAGCCGTAGCGTGCTGGTCCTGGCAGTGTGCTGGGAGCGACTGCGCGCACGGGCGAATGCCTAGGAAGTCACATAAGCAGTGCTCAGCCGGTGGCCGGCTCAGCCCGAGACACTGACGACAGAGGGAGTGAAACGCACTGCAGAAAGCGTAGTGCTGCAGGCTGTCCTCCCCGCGGCCCGAACGGCCGAAACGGCGTGCCGTGATCCAACCATTCCAAGCGGTCCTGATTTGGCAAGCCTGCACACGAGGAGGGAGGAGGGGCGAGGAGAGGGCGAGGACGTTGATCCACCGTGCTGGGCGGCGGCCCGGCAAAATGTTAAGTTGCCACTTGTCCAGGCGCTTCCGGACGTGCGAGGCAGCAGAAGGGCGGGAGGCGGCCTGAAAGATGCGCGTAGCACGGGCCTGCCAACCGAGACGCTGTTGAGCAGCCGGGTCGGCGGAATCCAACAAAGAGGGCGCAGAGCGCACACTCCGCTCAGCCGCTGCCAACTCAGAAGTGGCGTCCCGAAGGGTGAACAAGAAGTTCTGGCTGACGTACTCCGAGAACTGCGCCGCTCGCTGCTGGTTCGCGACCAGCCGGCTCACCTGAAGGAGCCGGCGGGCGCGCGCCTGGATCCGGAGCCCCCCGTGTCTGGAGTTCTCGAAACGAGCGACTCTGGCTCGCGCCGCTCTGGCAGCGGACCGGACGTCCGGCAGCGCCCTCGGGAAGTGCAGCGTCTTGAGGTCCCGGAAAGCCTCCACGGAGAACCAGTCCTTGGGGCCAGGGAAGAGCGCGCGGCACGCTTTGAGCTCGACGGCGTCGAAGTCGGACGGCAGAGGGTCCAGCTGAGCCGCGAACATCACGACTGAGCACACGAAAACCTGGTACGCCAGGAGGATGTGAAAGAAACCGACGCCCATGCGACCCCACAGCGTGGCTCGGTCGAGGAACTTCTTCACAGGCGCCCCCCACGAACTGGATCCCCGCCCCGGACCGACAAACATGCCAAGGTACTTGGCCTTCTCCGCGATAGGGAAAGCGCCCCATAGCGGAGCCTCCCTGGCCAGATGGCGCCGCACCGCGTCCCGATCGTGCCGGAAAAGGGGAACGAGAACCGTTTTCGCGATGTTGAGCTTGAGGCCGGAGATGGTCTCGTACTCCGTGAAGATACCCTGTAAGTTGCCAAGGTGCCGCAAGAGGGCTGCGTGAACGAGCGCAGTGTCGTCGGCATAGGCGCGCACGCAGGCTCCAGGCACGCGACGGATCAGACGACGCAGCAGTATGTCGGACGCAACTGCGAAAAGCAGCGGTGACAACGGGCATCCTTGCCGGATGCCTCGGGTCATGTCGAAGCCCTCGTGTCGAGCACCGCCCAATGCGATGAAGCACGAGTTGCGGTAGTACAAGCACGAGATGAACTGGAGGAGCCAAGCGGGCCATCGGAGCGCCCGAAAAACCGCGAACATCATGTCGTGCTCCACAGACGGAAAGGCCGCGGCGAAATCGAAGAAGATGGCCCCCCCCTCGTCGGATGCGCATGCGCTGGTGGCCATGGCTTCTTCGATGTCCACCAAGTTGGCCAGCATGCTGCGCCCTGCGACGAAGCCCCTCTGAGACCAAATGATTTTTGGACCGACGACGGGTTCGATAAGGTGCCGGACAGCATTGGCCAACAGCCGATTGTCCGTGTTGGTCACATTCAAAGGTCTCGTGTCCTCCGCCACGTAATAGCCCTCCCCCGTAGCAGTGTGGCCCGAGGCTTTTTTGGGAAGCAGGAAGAGCAGGCTAGCATTGAAATCCTCCCAATCCTCGTCGATGGCCGCGCAGCCTCCGTCGTTCATCAAAACCCGCACTGCGTCAAACAACACCGATGCAGAAAGTTTGGGGCATCTGCGCCAAGCGAGAAAACTGATGCCGTCAGGGCCTGGAGAAGAGTTGTTGGAATGCTTGATGGCGTGCTCGACGTGTCGTTTCCGGAGCTTGGGGAAGGCAGGAGCGCCCTCGAGTACGTCCGCGGCGTCCCTGCTGGCCACGTCCTCGCTGAGCCATTGCTCCAGGAGGGAATGGTCGATGCCTTTCGCGCGAAATACGTCCGACCAGTGCCTGCGGAGCTCGGCGGCCATCTCTGCGGGGTCAGTGAGCACCCGCCCGGCCCTGGCGAGCACGGCAGACAGCGCGCCCCCTCTGCCAGGGGCGAGGCGGTAGATCAGCCGCATGTTCTTCTGTCTGGCCTGGTTGGCTTTTGCAGTATCGCCGCAGACGAGGTCCTCATGGGATTTACGTAGCTCGTCCAGCGCATGGTCTCTCGCTAAGTCGATTGCGTGCTCCCGGGCAGACCGTAGGCGACTTGAGAGGTTACCCCCGGTCTCGTAGGGATTGTCCACAAGCTCGACCAGATATGGGTATCGCGTGATGCAAGAAGAAATTGCTCCCAACATGCCCTGTTCTGCGCTCCGGATGAACTTCATAGTGACACCCAGTCTGTCTTCGAGATCGACGGCTTCCGGAGGCCTCCCCATCGTGCGGTCCAGGCGTGTAGCGACCTCCTTGATGGACTCTTTGTACATGCGGAGTCGGCGGATCGGGGTGGCCAGCGGGTTTTCGCCCAGCTTGCGGTGGTAGTTCAAGGCCAGGAGGCGAGGAAAATCAACATGTCGAAGGGCGCGTTCAGGTACCGAGCGCGAGTGTTCTGGACCGTGCTGCGGCGTACTGCGGGACGCAAAGACGGCTCGATGTGCAGATAGCTCTTGTCGCCATTCCAAAGCCGTAGCCCGCAGGCAGCGGTCCAGCTGCTCCGACGCATGGAAGTTCATGTAGATGCGGTCCAACCGCGAACGAGAAGAGGCCGAAGCATGTGTGGGCTCGCCTTGGTATAACTCGTAAAGGCCGTGCGGGCGGGCAATAACTGCTTGAAAGTGGCTCTCCTCCCCCTGATCCCGTCTGCCAGTAGAGGTCTGTGAGAAGACGGCAGTCCTGTCCATGGGCGAGTTGACGTAGTTGAAATCCCCCCCGAACAGCGTGAGTACCTTACCCTTGGGGGCGATTCTCCCAGCCAGCCTGTTGCGCATGTGCGCCCGTAGGGTGGGAAATGTCGTCAGTGCGTCTCGCGCGGCCCCGTCCACGCCGAACAGATCCAGCTCGGTGACAGCCACCCCGGTGGGGAAATAGTTGACGAGGATGTCAAGCGCGCCGTGCGGGCCTCGTAGTTTGAGCTTGATCGAACGCCCCGGCCATATGACTTCAAGCGGCGCGATAAAGGAGAAGAACTTCAGAAACGACTCCTTTACCAAGATGCCAACCCCTGCGTGCCCTGGAGAGGCACCTGCCGACCACCACGCCCTAGTGCCATCGGGCGGCCTCCACGTGGCATTGCCGGCATCCGTGCCGTGAGTCTCCGTGAGGAGCAACACGTCCGACCGCGCGATGAGCTTGTTGACGTAAGCTGACTTGTCCTCGTGGCGCTGCGGGTCCGCCGCGAAGAGGGCCTGCGCGTTCCAGAGGGCCACGGCGACGTCCAGCGAGAACTGGCCCTGCCGGGACACACCCTGCTGGATAATGGCCCGCGGGGCGGACAGAGCAGGGGCGCTGATGGCGTCTGAAGGGAGTTCGCCAAGCGCTCGCAGAAGTCGCTGACAACGATAATGGCATAGCGGAACATCATCTCGACATGCAGGGAAAGGACGGGCAGGTAGCAGTTCGCAACCAGAAAAAAGCAACGGAGGGAGATGTGGAAGAAGACGGTCGTAATCGGCAGCGCGAGGCGGAAAGACTCCTGGTCGGTAGTGGTCCACGCGGCCCGGCCCCGCCTGGACGGGGAGGAGTCGAAGGACGACATCGATGATCCAGTAGCTCTCCCCCAGCTCGTTCATGCAATAAATTCCGAACCCGTGCCCTAGGTTCGACGGGCACCCTGCGTCCAGGCGGCAGCCGCGGGTGTCGCGGCCGGCTACCGCCTGCTGTTTCCCGGGAGGGAACCCAACTGGATGGTGTCATTCAGTACCTCAATCGCGACCCTGTCGGAGCCGACCTGGACCGTCTGGCCATGCAGCGCGGCGTGGACTTTGCGAACTTCCTCCTGGCTGCGGAGCAGGAGCCGCAGGCAACCAGGGGGTGCAAATTTTTTCCTGGAGGCGAGGTGGTAGAACTCCCCAGGCTTCGGCATAGCGTCGTTGACGGCTTCCGTCAGAGTCAGCCCCGTAGCGGTGCAAGCGTGGTTGAGGATGCGACGAAGTACCTCCGCGTCCTCCCGGCCCACCTCACCTTGGAGCTTGAGGTCAGTGACGTAGTCATGCAAGTTGGGGTTCTGCTTAGCTCTCCGCGTCGTGGCCGCGAGCGTGCTGGCGACGACCGAGGGGGTGGCCACCGCGCGGCCACCGCGAGATGGTTTCCACTTCAACTTCGTGGCCGCTGTGAGCGGGTCCCCCAGCATGCATCTATCCAGGACCTCCACCCACGTATCTGAGGGCGCCTCGGAGTAGACCAGCGCTCTGGAGTCGGAGAGGACCAAGAGCTGGGTGCAGAGCGGCCAGTAGTGGTGCAACGAGGTGGGCCTGTTGAACTCGAGTATCATGGCATCCGGGTCGTTGTACATGAGCGTGGAGCCGAAGAAGGCGCTGCCTGGGAGAGCGGAGCGGCGAAGGTGCCGAAGCTGAAGGAACTGGGCGAGGACACCAACATCAGCAGGAAAGAGAAGATCGACTGTCACCCTCGGGGCCTCAGCAGTGCTAGCGTAGCTCCTTTTGGGCGGCCGGCAGAGAATGTTAGTGAGCATCGGGTCCCGCATAATGGCGTAGAACTGGGGGATGCTGTCGGCGAGCATGTCCACAGACATGCCAGAGACGGCGTCAACCTCCAGGACGGCCGGCTTGAAAGTCAGGACCCTGGGAGCGAACCTGGCGCCGGTCAAGGCCAAGTTGAACACCGCCAGCCCCATTCGAGTGTGCCTGGGGCTGCTGCGACCTGGGAGGACCATCTCAAAGGGGTGGGGCACGAAGGCGACACCCTTCATAATGGAAGCCACCTTCTCTCCAAGGAGAGGAGACCAGAATAAGTCCATGATGTCAGACGCGGAAGCCATACCAGGACGCAAATGGAGCGGCGTAATCATCCGCACGCTGATCGGGCAGTTGGGCGAACCAGCTCTCCGCATAAGCGAAGCGAGGAGGCGGGTAAGGGCGTTGCCATCGGAAGGAGCCCACATCACGATCGCGAGTCCCTTGAGCTCGTCCCAGACCCGGTCGTCGCCCTTCTCAGCGAGCTCGGCGAGTGTACGGGAGCGAGGCACGCCGTTCGGGATCGAGGTGTGGCCGAGCACGTTGGACCACTGCGTGAGGAAGCTTTCGTTCGCGAAGGCCTTCGTGTTGTTCAACATCTCGAGCCCGTCCTTGCCGAGCTCCTTCCACAGCGGCAGCTTGCCCGCCCGGATCCTGCGACGTGCGCGTAGAATCTCAGGCATGTCCTCAATGCACTTTGCGGCATCTGCGGTTAACTTGTCTGTCACCTCTTGCGCTTTGAACACGTCGTTCGAGTCCCAGCCACGGACTGCGAGGCTGCACAAAAACTTGACGGTCCGCAAGCGGGACGCGATGAGCTGCTCCGAGGGGTCGGGGCCCTCGTACATCGCGTAGCCCAGTGCGTGCCAATGGTCCGAGGAGTCCAGGTGGTAGCCGAGCTTCGCAAAGATGCCTGAGAGGCCAGCCCAGTCGTGGGGGAGCTGAAAGGACGTCTCCTGGCCAGGTTGACGGGCAGCAGCGGCGGCCTGTACGATCGGGAAGTGGGTAAGAACATGATCTTCGAGCCACTCCCGGAGGAGGCCGTCGGCGATCGAGCTGATCGGCGCGATGGAAGGGACAGGTACAGGTGGGACTCCGGGGAGGGCGGTAGCTGCAGCAGCGGGGCTAGTACTCGCGACGTTCTCCGAGTCGACCTCGATAGCGTCCAGCTCGGCGTCCATGTGCAAGCCGTCCAGGGCCTGCGATAAACCAGAAGTCCCCTCCGCCTCGGCGCCGGCAGCAGGTGCGCCCAGCGCCTGGGCAGCCAGCCCGGGCACGGCGCCAACGGCGCTGGCGGCGGCCCCCCCAGGGGCGGGGAGCCCTGGCGGCAGCAACGGCCCGGAGGCCGCCGCGGCGGGAGCGGCGGCGCCGGGGAGCGCCTGGCCGCAGCGCCTGCACCGGCCCTGCTCGTCGGCAGAAGCCGGGAGCGCGCCAAACAGCGGGCAGGCCGAATGAGGGCAAGCCATCGCTAGCAGAGAGGAAAGGCTGGGAGGAATGGGGGTGAATCAAGGCTTGAGCCCTAAGCCCTTGGGCCTTCCCAAGGGTGTAATGCTGTGGCGACCACGGCCCCCAGGGGCCGCAGTCTTGAGCCAGAGACGTCCGCACGTATTTGATCCTCGCCCCTTGTCTCGACGCCCCCGAACCTGCATTGGAAACTCGACGTGCCAACGGGTCACAGGCGTGATGTACTCTTCGTTTGTATATACTCTCCGCGCGCGCGTGGAGGCCCTAGGCGGTCCAGGGAACAAAGTACCCTTGCAAGGTCCGGCACGTGATGTCAGAACTCCTGGGTGCCTCCTCAAGGGCGCCTCAGGACCATCCCGAGAAGATCGGAGGCGATCCTAAGAGTGTCCAAGACGGCCAAAGAGAGCCCCAAGGTGCCCACGATTACCTCTTGACGGCCCCAGAGGCCTCCGAACCGTCTCCAGAGGGCCCAAAGAGGAACCCCAAAAGAGCCCAGATAGGCATCAATCACTGACACCGCTCTGGCTTGGGACAGATTTCAGCATGATCATTATTTTTAGCTTCGAACGCTCCAAGGCGGCCCAAGAGGCTCACAACATCGACCCAAGACTGCGTACGGGGCCTCCAAAGGGAACCCACGACGGTCAAAGGGTCCCGCAAGAAGACCCAAGAGTACCCAAACAGGGGCCAGGGACCGTCAGCAAGACCCCAAGAAAACCACAAGAGGCCCCAAGACGACCCCAACAGGCCCGAAGAGGCCACGAGGAGGCCCCCAGACAGCCCGAAATTTGAAAGAGCCCCCAAAGAGGTCCCAAGAGACTCCAAAGAAGCTTCCCTAGAGGCTCCCATGATGTCTCCCAGACAAGCCCCCACGATCCCTCCAAGAGGCCTCCTGAAGGCATCCCAAGAAACCATCCCATGCATCCAAGAGGTCTGATTCACAACCCCGGCACGGTGGCGGGTTGGATCGAAGGCCTAAGCGTTGCCCTCCATCTACCTGGGAACAGCTTCCACAAACGCGAGCTGCACATGACAGCTCAGGGAAACAACCACAAACCAACAACTCTCAGATCATCGCGAGGACACAAACAGTTGACAACGAATACGCAATGTGAGCCGGCGGAGTGACCGAAGCGTTTCGAAGAAGGCGTGGGCAGCCAGCGCGGATTTCACGGGTCAGAGCTGCGCTCCCCATGCGGGCGCCTCGGGCGCCGCTGTTGGCGCGCTTCGCGCGCCCTGTGAAGGGGGGCCCACCGCCGGCCCAAGAGGCCCGCGCGGGCCATCAAAGGTTGATGTGCGTGTGTACCCGTTGGTCGGATGAGGAGGGCAGAAGCATGAAGCAGGAAGGCGCTGGAAGCAGATTGGGCTTCCGCCCACCCCCTGAACAGGAAGGAGGGAGGACAACCACTCGATCATTGGAGTGGGAAGGCACCTGCAGCAGACTGGGACCCGGGAGTCCAGAGATACCTACTTCCCACGACCGACGTGTATGTTCGGGATCACCGGGCGCCTGCGTCGGAAACACCTCGCTGACGAGCAGCATGGTGACCATCTGCCACGTCGGGAAGAAGAGCTGGATCGAAGCCACGCCCACGAGGCCGAGGCCCACCTGCCAGCTCGAGGCCCCATCCAGGCCCAGTATCAGCAGCGCCGAGAGCGCGGACAGCGCGGTGCCGGTCCAGAGGGCGGTGCGGCGCGGGAGCCAATACATCAAATACATCGCGACGAAGATCCTGGAATAATCATACAGTCGGGGCGTTGACCTAAGGAACCCTAAGGAACGAGGCCCCTTCTTTCCACAAGCTGAACTTCGATGTCCCATCGGAAACCTAAGGACACAACCTAAGGCAAACTGTGAAACAACCAAGGAACACGGAGCCCCTCCCCAACGAAAAGGGTTCCTTCTTCAGCGCCCTGACTGTAAGAACCGACATTAAGCGTAAGTTTCTCGGAGGTCCGCGCGAAATCCGCGGATCGGCGCTGGCTCCCCCGGGCGGCGTTTAGGGCGCGACCCCTGGCGCGCTGCGCGCGCCACGGCGGGGGGTCCAGCGCTGATCCATTACCAGCCTGGAACATACCCCTATCCCTATGCTGGGCACCTCCTCATCACGATGCCAATCTTAGGGATTCCCTGACTTTTTGAGGGGGAATCCCTAAGATTGTCATCGCCTTTTGGCGTGTCGATCTCAGGGATAGGGATACGTTCGAGGCTGGTAAATCCAGGAAATCCGTGGACATTTGACAACACATGGGTGTGCCAGCTCTTCTTCTCCGAGGTCCCAGGGATGCTGATGAAAGTGGTGACCGCGAGCCCAGTAGCAGGTACGAGCGATCCGAGGGCACCCACCGAGGAGAACGCGACAGGCCAGAAGGCAACCAGTCCCGCCGCCAGGAACTCTTTACTGAAGAACATCGCCACCATGCAGCAGAAGTACTGCCAGAACGGGTGCGTCTTCAAAATCGCGACCGTCTCCCCGAAGGAGATCACCGCGCTATTCTCCTAGCAGCATGGGGAGAACGGGTCATGAGGGAAACGGGTCCTGGACCCTGGGGCCTTCCCCCAGGACGAGATCTTCATCCAGAGTTGTTTTCTGACAGCCCCGGGGTCCAGCCCCGGGGCCCGTGGAGGGCCATGGTAACAAAAAAATGCGAAAAACTAAAGACCGGTTTCCCTCAGGACCCGCTTCCCCCCTGGCGATCCTTCCGGATGCTGGCGTCGAACACCATCTTCCGGTCAGGGCGCCCGTTCATGTCCGCCACCAAATTGATCGCATCGATCAGCTTCCTCCCGTCGCCCCGGATGGCCAGGTAGTGCGGGCCGTCCTGGCGGAAGACGGGGCTCGCCGCCACGAAGCAGAGGAAGAGGGCGGCGGGGGCGGCCGCCCACAGGACGAGCCAGCGCCAGGGCCCGTGCTGCAGGTCGGGCATGAAGAGCCGCAGCCCGAAGGCGGCCCAGAGCCAGCCCAGCCTCCAGGCCATCCCGATGGCAGCGCCCACGACGCCTCGGAGGCGCGACGGCATGACCTCCGTCAGGGTGATCATGGCGGCGGGGACGCAAATGCCCGCCGACACCCCCGTCAGCACCAGGACCTGGAGGGAGGGAATGCACGGCAAAAACATCGACCATCGGAGGCCCGCGCGGATTTCTTGGATCGGCGCTGGCCAGAGAAGGTGGGTGGCCCAGGGCCGCTCCAAGAAAGCCGCGCGGAACTCAGCAGGTTTGTAAAGAGCGCTTGTTTTTTTGCGGCGATCACGGGCGTGATGAGGAGGGAGGGAACGGAGGGGGGGGGAGGGGCGGGGGACGCATAACGGAACGCACGCCGGGCCCCCCCGCTGTGACAGACTGTGGTGCCGGACGCTCTGGGACCCTCTGCGGCAGCGCGGGGGACGCGCTGGGCGGGGGGAGCGTGACGTGATGGGGGGGCAGGGGGGGGGGAGAGAGGGGGGGGCGTAACGCGCATTATGGCACAGAGGGTACACAAAAACGCGCTCGTGCAGTTTCCTCTCCGAGGGCCACGAGGAGGAGGCCCATGCTCGGCGAGAAGAAGGCGGCCACGGCGCCCAGCAGCATGCCGCAGTAGCCCAGGAGGACCGGCCACCGGCGCCCCAGAAAGTCCCCAAGCGGGCCCGAGGCGAAGGTGCCCAGCTGGATGCCTTCAAAGGGGGGGATGAGTATGCTGCTGCTGCTGTTGCTGCTGCTGCTGCTGCTGCTGACGACGACGACGACGACGACGACGACGACGACGACGAGGAGGAGGAGGAGGAAGAGGAGGAGGATGATGATGATGATGATGATGACGATGACGATGATGATGATGACGATGGTAGTGGTGGTGATGATAATGATGATGACGACAATAATGATGGTGGTGGTGATGGTATGGTAGTGGTGGTGATGATGATCATGAGGAGGAGGAGGAGGAGGAGGAGGAGGAGGAGGACCAGAGCAAACCCGATATGCAACAGCGATGCTGCAACGTACCCTCTCGTCCCGAGTTCCCTCCGCAGCAGTCCCTGCCGGCACTCCCGCTGGAAAGACGAGCCCCCCAATGGCACCCTCCCCTAGCTCTGGCGGGACAGAGGAGGTGGATAGGAGCAGGGGGAGCCAACAGCAACTTGACCTCGGGGCGATGTCAGCTTGTCCAGAAAGACTTGTGCATAAAAGCCTGTACCCGTCGCTGGCGCTGCCGCACCATTCCGCCACGAAGAGAGCATGTGCGCGCGAGGTGCCAGCTCGGCCTGCCAAGAGAGATCGCGGGCGAAGCAGTACACGAACGGTCGACACACGACCAGGCTGTCTTCCAGCATGCGCCTGTCAGGGGATCCACACGGGGCAGGAGCCTGGGGGCTGAGGGGCAGCTCGGGGAAAGGCAGGGTTGGCTCCCCAGCTTTCCCTTCCCCTGAAAAGACTAGCCTGGACGTGGATGGAGCGTTCATCACGACTCGCAGGCCGGACGCGAGGAGGGGGGGTGGATGGGGATGATGAGGAGAGATGCCTGCGAACAGGAATGCCACGATCATGGCCTTCTGAAGGTCGCTTTCGATGCCGAAGTCGGCGCTGACGGTCTTGGCCACGCTCGAGCACATCTCTATGAGGGCCGCCTCAGACATCAGCGCGCCCGCCGAGATGATGAAGGTGTGGACCTGTGAAGGAGGCGGAAGACGACGAAGATAAGAAACATAAGTAAGACGGCAACATCCGCTATCTACGGCAGGTTCTTACGACTTCGGCGTAGTTTCTGGCAACGCGTGGTTCGCTCAACCTCGAAGGGTCGCGGACCGTTCGACATCGTTCAAAGTGGCCGACTCCCAATCACTGTAAACAATCAACCTTGAACACCCGCGCTAGAGCCGCTGCTCCGTCGACACCACGCGAATCTGCCGCAGGATAGCAACAGGAACTACACACCCCTACCGCTTCAGGCGGAGAAGATGCATCGCGGGATGATGAGGACGAGAACGACGATGACACAAATGGCTGACCTGGTAGGGGCCGAATCCAACATCGTCGATGATCTCTCCAAGGCTGAACTGTTCGAGTCCATCGAGGACGAAGCACGTCCGCTCGTTCACCTTGACAGGAGAGGAGGACGAGGAGGAGGAGGAGGGAGGGAAGGGGGCACGAGGAGGGTGAAGGATGAGGAGGGGGAGGAGTAGAGGAGGAGGAGGATGAGGAAGAGGAGGAGGAGGAGGAGGACAAAAGAGGAGGAGGAGGAGGAGGAGGAGGAGGAGGAGAGAGACGGTGATGGTAAGCAGGAGTAGGAGGACGGGGGGGGAAAAGACGAAGAGTGAGGAGGACAAGCAGGAGGGCGATGACGACAGTAGAAGGTATCTTATGATATTATTGAGGCAGGTAGCAGGGGGAAGCAGGGGGAGCAGGAGTAGACCAAGACATTCAGCGGCTCGATTCGGTAGAGACGCGTGGCCTGACCTCTGATCCCTCAAACACCTCCCCAGGGGCCTGTTTCTTATATCGCAGGTTCCGACGCTACCTAGTCCCAAAGATGGCCCCTAGAGGGCCCCAAATGGCGACCTTCTGGGCGTCTCGATCGGTCTCGTGCCAAAGAGCTTCGAAGCGGATCCAGCCGTAGCTACGAGGAGGGCTCCCCTAGAAGCAGTAACATCCAACACCTCGATCTGGTCGCCTAACAACCTGCGCTGAAGGAGAAGGATAGGCAGCAAGAGGAGGGGCAATCGCTCGCCCGCCTTGATGCGAGAAAGGGTGGTCCTCCGCCTGGATGGCGCCAGCTTCTGGCTCTTCTTGACCTCTAGGGACTTTCAGCACAGCAACACATCCAATCCTGCCCCAATCCGCCCACTCTACCTCTACCTCCAACTCTCCTACTCCTGCACTCCCTCCACTCAGTCGCTTTCCTCATCATCCGCATCCCTCCTTCCTCTCCTTCCTGCTCCTCCTCCTCCTCCTCCACCCTCCTCCTCATCTCTCCTTTCCCCTTCCCTATTCATTAATTCCCCCCTCTCTACTATGAAACTGCCCGATGCGGCCACCCCCTCCCGCAGATAGCTTCTTTTCAAATGTGTTTGTGTTCCGTCGGGCCATTCGACCCTCAACAAATAGAGCTCCGGCTGCAGCGTCGGACGCATCTTAGGATCGGCGCTGAGCTCCCGTCGATCAGATCTGCGCGTTCGCACCAACGCTCGCCACATTTCTGGATCCGATTCGTGCCTCGTAGTTGCCGTCCCCCTCCCTTTCCCTTCTCCACCATCGTCTTGCTCTTCATCTTCCGCCACTTCCTCCTCCTCGCCCAATGTACAAAGCCCCGTGTTCCACCTGCGCGTCTAACGACAGGGTCACTGCGGGAACCAAAATCATCTATGACACCCTGGTCGGCGGATATCCGCCGGTCACCTTGCGGGGCCATCAGGCTGCAAAGATTAGGCTTCCATACTCCGTGCACCAGTTCCAGTTTCAAGTCTCTAATGTTACAGTCCTGCTGTCTGCTTCCTACTTTGAATTGTTACTGAACGCGCCAGTGGGGGGGAGCCCCAGGCCAGCCTTTTTACCACAACCAGCTCGCGTTGGCTGAATTCCTCGGGGGGCGTGTGACACGTACAAGTTCTTGATATTCGCGTTCCCGAAACCATAATCCCTACCAGATAACGCTATATTCGCGTCGCCGAAGTCATACACGATAGAAACTTAACCAATATTCGCGTCCCGCGTCCCCGAAGCCATAATCCATGCTAAATTACACCATATTCGCGTCCCCGAAGCCATCAACCTTTTTGCAAATTATGTAATGTTCGCCCCCCCCCCGAGACCATACACCCAAGTCAATTACGGAAGATTTGCGTTCCCGAGGCCATACACCCTCGAACATTATGCGATATTCACGTCCCCGAAGCCATAATCCATAGTAAGTTATGCAATGCTCGCGTCCCCGGGGCTATACAATATGGTAAATGTGATAAGCCACTTGCAAATTGCCCTAGCAAGAGGTTCCGACATTGTTTCACGACGGCGCTGAGAACATACACCATAGCTCTGGTATGCCCCGTTCTGATTGAAAGGAGGCCGGCGGCAGGGGGCGAAGCCCTTATGAATAACCCAGCGCAATGGGAAGGCACGGGTAAGAGGGCTAGGATGACAGATATTGCGGGAACGCACCTAGCGTGCCCTCTCGTCTCTCTTTCTTTCTCTCTCTCTCTCTCTTACTCTACTCCTCCTCATCCTCCCTCCTCTCCCTACTCTCCCTCCTCTTTTCCCCCCAATCAATAAGCAAAGCATGCGCTAACGATTGAGTCGCCTTCGTGGTCCTGCGCAGGGTCGGGGCTCCCTCTGCAGCTGCCGGGGCGATCGGCCTACAGTCGACCCCGCAGAATAAGGACGCGCGACAGGGATGCAGGGCCTTGGAAGGCCATGTCGACACGTTGCGAGCGGGGCGCGGCGATCGAAAGCGGCCAAGGATGGGCCGAAACCGCACATCCGTACTATGCGGGTTGACTGTGGAATGGCCACGACGAGCCTCGGCCACGAATATATTCCCCAATCTAACTCTGGGAATATCGGGAACGACCCGGCAGCCAGAGTCACACCTGAACCCAACCTGGTCCCCACTTCAGCGTCCTCATTGTACGGGCCGTTGGGCAGAGACCGGTACAGGCATGAAGCACGTCAGCGGTGGAAGCGGTTTCGGCTCCGGCATGTCCGAACAACAGGCGGTCAAAAACAAAAAGCGAATGGTTGTTGAAGTAATTACGGTAGGTTCGTGACGCGAAGGTGTCGGCTTACGTTTCTGACACCGCATGGGCCGCTCAACTTTGGACGATAATGGCTTGCCGACTACGTGGACCGTTCGATGTCAGCAGGTTCTGAGCGAAAAGTGGCGGTCAAGCTTGAACGCCAGCGCTAGGGTCGCCGCCGCGTCAACACGACACACGCACACACCGTGGAAAGGCGCTTCAGGCAGGTGGGGGCCCAGACACCCTCAAAAATCTTACATACCTTCAACGAGCGGTCTCGACTACTTCAGGTTGGAGGTGGATGGCCATCCACGCCTCGATCGCATCAGCGCGTGGTCGCAACCAAAGCACGTTGAGCCTTCGACGTCTGAAGTGGTATCCACCTCTTGCATATTGTGACCGCGGTGGTGGAACATCGGGCCATGCGAAAACTTGAACCCGTCGCTGCTGATGTACCCAATGTTGCCCTTGGTGCGAAAAAAGGCCCAGGAACCATCTAGAGAAGATGGTCCCACGTGCGCGTCATCACCTGCACGGCCAGGTACGTTTACTCGACATGTCGCGTCGCCGGCCCTGACGACACACTGTGCCCGGCAAGCGGCTAGCATGTCGCTCCGCTGCGCGGGACGGGACGCCGGGAAAAGCTCGGGACTTTAATGCTTGGGGACTGGGGCGTGGATCGCGTGTCGCGCGGAAGCGTGATGGGCCAGAACTGGCGGCGCGACACGCAGAGCCAAAGTTCCTGACCGTAGCCCCCTGGCTTGGCCCCGACGGCAGCTTGAACCGCAATTCACTTGGGAAGGCTCGTCCGGATGGGCTCCGCATGCGGAGGCGGGAGTGCCTGCTCGCAGAGCAGCCGTGCAAGGAACGCGGCCCAAAGCCGAACGCAGGGAGGAGAAGGCGCGGGGACCACAACGCCATCGTCGCAGGTGGGCCACAATGCCGTCGCCGCAGGCACCCACTCCGAAGGAGCAAGGGGGCGGTCAGCGGGGGAGCACCGTCATCTTAGAGGGCGTTTTCCCTCACACTGAGGCAAGTGCAATTGCATGGCATTTCCCTCCCCCTCCCTCGCTGCCTTCGAGCAGCGCGGCCGAGAAGGCGTGCATCTGAGTCCCGACTCGCGTGAATTCCAAAATTCCTTTCGGGCCTCGCCACACCGCGCTTCCATCGCCGGCGTTCCAGGCACCAGAGGTGGTCATGAACCTGCCCGCCTGGAGGCACTGTGGTCGGTGTGGGAATGCTCCGTCGCGGCAGGGTTACTCCTGCCCAGTCAGGCCCACTAAAAGCATCCGTGTCGCAGGATGCAAACGCCGCCCAATAGGTCACCCCGACCAGCCACGCAAGTAAACTTGCTAGGCTCTAGAAGAAAAGGCAGGCGCCTCTTGAGACCCCGTCGAGCTCTGCCTACTGGGAGGTGTCCCGACACTCCCCGGGGCCACGAAGCCGGCAAAACAGCGATGGAACCACATCTGCTCGAGGGCGGGTCGGGGGGTGCTCAAGTTGCCCCAGGCCCAAGGTGCCCCTAGCTTTTCGCTGCATTTCGAAGCCCCGAGGCCCCATGAGCCTCGTGAGGGGTGCTCGGGAGGCCGTGGGGGCCTCCGTGGAAGTCCCGAGGCACCTTGGGCCTGGGGCCCTTCCAGCAGCACCCGAGCGGAGGAGGAGCGGCCGCGGGGGAGGGCTGGGCAGGTGGCGGCCGCCCCGAGGCGCCCGCGGCCTGGCCCCCGGTCTCCTCGTCCTTCGCATCTGGGCGCTGCGGCTTGAAGGTGACGCTCTTCCCCGCCTTCGCCCGGCCGTCCATCCTGCCGGGTCGGCAAGATCACAGGAGGGCGCTTCTGCAGTCTCGGGCAGGTTTCCTTGCAGGGGCGTGAATGCCAGAATTCCTGTCGTACCTCGCCATGCCGCCCCCCCTCCATGCCAGCAAACTGGTCAGAATCTACTGGGAAAAAAATTATCCTGGCGAAGGGCCCAACCATACGCAATTCCGAATGCCGCCGTTGTAAGTATCGTCGTTGGTGGAACACCCGATGGGGCCACGAAGCGTGTGAGAGGTGCGCCAAATGGAGGTGGAACTGCATGCGGACCCTGCCACTGGGGCCTTCGGTGGAGCACCCTGTGGGGCCGCGAAACGTGTGAGGGGTGCGCCGAAATGGAGGTGGAACTGCATGCGGACCCTGCCATTGGCGCCCTCGGTGGAGCTCCCTATGGGGCCGCGAAACGTGTGAGGGGTGCGCCGAAATGGAGGTGGAACTGCATGCGGACCCTGCCACTTGGGCCTTAGGCGGAGCTCTCTATGGGGCCACGAAACGTGTGAGGGGTGTGCCGAAATGGAGGTGGAACTGCATGCGGACCGTGCCACTTGGGCCTTAGGCGGGGCTCCCTATGACGCCACGAAACGTGTGAGGGGTGCGCCGAAATGGAAGTGGAACTGCATGCGGACCCTGCCACTTAGGCCTTAGGCGGAGCTCCCTATGGGGCCACGAAACGTGTGAGGGGTGCGCCGAAATGGAGGTGGAACTGCATGCGGACCCTGCCACTGGGGCCTCAGGTGGAGCTCCCTATGGGGCCACGAAGCGTGTGAGGGGTGCGCCGAAATGGAGGTGGAACCGCATGCGGACCCTGACACTTGGGCCTTCGGTGGAGCTCCCTATGGGGCCACGAAACGTGTGAGGGGTGCGCCGAAATGGAGGTGGAACCGCATGCGGACCCTGACACTTGGGCCTTCGGTGGAGCTCCCTATGGGGCCACGAAACGTGTGAGGGGTGCGCCGAAATGGAGGTGGAACCGCATGCGGACCCTGACACTTGGGCCTTCGGTGGAGCTCCCTATGGGGCCACGAAACGTGTGAGGGGTGCGCCGAAATGGAGGTGGAACCGCATGCGGACCCTGACACTGGGCCTTCGGTGGAGCTCCCTATGGGGCCACGAAACGTGTGAGGGGTGCGCCGAAATGGAGGTGGAACCGCATGCGGACCCTGACACCCTTCGGTGGAGCTCCCTATGGGGCCACGAAACGTGTGAGGGGTGCGCCGAAATGGAGGTGGAACCGCATGCGGACCCTGACACTTGGGCCTTCGGTGGAGCTCCCTATGGGGCCACGAAACGTGTGAGGGGTGCGCCGAAATGGAGGTGGAACCGCATGCGGACCCTGACACTTGGGCCTGGGGCCTTCGGTGGAGCTCACTGTGAGGGGTGTGGAGGTGGAACCGCATGCGGAACACTTGGAGCTCCCTATGAAAGGGGTGCGCCGAAATGGAGGTGGAACCGCATGCGGACCTTGCCACTGGGGCCTTCGGTGGAGCTCACGGGTCACGAAACGTGTGGCCATGATGGAGACGGCGATGATGATGACGACGATGGTGATAAGAACGATGATGATGATGATGCTGATGATGACGGTGACGATGACGATGATGATGATGCTGATGATGAGAGGAGGAGGAGGAGGAGGAGGGGGAGGAGGAGGAGAGGAGGAGAGACGCGGGGCACCGTCTCTTCAAAACGAGGACCCAACACCACAGGATGGTTGGGAAAAACCTCCTCCGGGTTGGAAAGATTACAAGGACCGTGGGTCGGCCCGCCCCAGACGTGCGACACCCTGATGTTGTTTCAATGCGGGGTCCTTGGAAATCCCGACCCCTGAACCAGGGCACGCGTTTCATCCAGCGTAGTGCTTTGACTGTTCGGGGGCCTGGATAAAGCCCCCAGAGGCCGAAATGCGGCCAACACACATCACGCCGTGATTTACGCCACGACGCGAGCATGTCTGGGGCTTTCTCATTCACCTCTTCCCCCTCCAGCTCCTCGTCCTGGCTCCCTCCTGCTCCGATCACCATCGCGCGGAGGGATGGTGGCGGCCCTCTCCCTGTGGTTTTGGCCACTGCCAGGATCCTTGGTCCGGGGCGGGTTGATGACGAATTAGCACATGGATGTTCTGTGCGCGAGCCGAGCAGCTCGCATATGTAATACGTACAGACAGGCACTTGGACCGACAACAGCAACGAACGAGAATAATGAGCTAGAACGGCCGGGCGTGAGGAGGCGGAGGAGGATCGGGGGCAAGAAGTGGAGCAAGGATGAGCACGATCACCATAGCAACAGAGGAGGATCCGGGGAAAAAGGTGGACAAAGGATGAACACGATCACCATGACAACAGACGCTTGCCTTGAGGCTTGAGGGCGCCGTCCCGTGAGGAGGGAAATGGCGACAGTGGATCTGGAGGGCGATATCGGTGAGGAAGAGGAGGATGCCGCAGCCGGGAGGGCGGCATATGGTCACCCAACGCACCGTGCTGGAATCTACAGGGAGAGATGGTGGGGGAAAGCAAGGCAAAGACCGCAAGCTTCGCGGACCCGACGTCTTCTTCGGCTACGCAGCCAAAGCAGCCTGTATCTCAGAGGTTTCAACAGCAAGCTTCCGACGTCAAGGGCATTGCTGGGAGTACTCCAGGAAAGGGGAATGAGGACGAGGAGGACCAGATCAAAGGAACCGACATACCGAGACGAAGTCTTCTTCAGCTGCGCTGCCGACACGGCCTGGATCTAAGTGGCTACAAAAGGCGGAATCGTGTGTCAAAAGCCATGTTGGGAAGCAGGGCGACGGCAAAGACGAACGCGTCCAACTGTTAACATCGCCTGTCCCCCAAGATGGTCAACCAACATGTATTCGGAAACCATATAGACTCTGAATGAGCGTCGGTTCGGGCTGCATCGCATCGTCGGGATATCGGAATCGAATGGGGTCGGGCCCGTAATACGAAGCATCACATGTTTTTATTCAAGTGTCGAAGGTCGAAGGTCCGCGCGGACTTCTTGGATTGGGGCGGAATGCACCAACTGCTGTTTCAGAGGTGGCGCCAAACATATCCAACGCGAATCGATGTTATCCGTGGGGGGTGGGGGGGGCGCTCCGCGGAGGCCATGAGGCTAAGGAGGGGGATGGGAGGGGGGGGGAAGGGGAGGAGGAGGAGGAGGAAAAGGAGGATGATCGGATCGGAATGCTGAGGGCGATGTCAAGCTCCAAAGGATACGCCTGACTGAACGGAATCGCACCACAACATATTATCCCTGCGACGGCTCTCAGCTGCGGCAACTCAAGATCGGAGAGGGAGGGCGAAAACGAGGGGAGAAGAAGAGGAAGATGGAGGACGACGACTATGACGATGTGAGTATGACGACACTGGGAAGGACATGATGATGGTAGTGATGATGGTGGTGGCGATTACAATTGCCATGATGCTGGTGGTGGTGATGATGATGGTGATGTTGATGACAATGCCGATGATGAAGATGATGCTGATGATAGTGATGAGACTATGGATGATGGTGATGATGCTAAGGATGTGTATGGTGATGGCTGCGATGATGACGATGGTGGCGATGACGATGGTGAAAGTGAGGTTCGTGTTGATGATGATGATGACGACGATGTCGATGATGACGATGGTGGTGATGATGGCGGTAGCGATGATGATGATCATGAGAGCTTTGATGGTGAACATGACAATGAGGGTGATGGTGAAAATGATTGATGGTGGAGGTGATGTAGGTGATGATAGTGCTCATAATGGTGATGGTTATGTTGATGATGGTGACGATGTTATGCTGGTGATGGTGATTGCGATGGAGATGATCCTGGTTATGATGCTGCTGATGATGATTGTGTGTATGGTGATGTAAATACTAGGGATGAGAAGAGTGATGGTGATGATGGCGATGATGATGCAACTAGTGATTATGTTGTTAATGATGATAAAGCTGTGGATCATGAGTGAAAGGTTGTCGTTGTAATGGCATAACTGCGAAAGCTGGTGATGGCGATGATGCGGTTCATGATGACGATGTTGATGTTGATGTTGATGATACCGATGATGATGATGGTGCACATGGTGATGGTGCTGTTGACGATGACGATGCTGATGCTGATGATGATGCTAATGATGAGACGGATAGGGGTGACGTGTCTGAAGATGGAGGTCGTGCTGATGATGCTGGAGTTGATGCTGATGATGGTGCTGTTGCCAATAACGGTGACGATGCTGATGATGATGCTGACATTGGTGACGACGTGCCCGATGATGATGATGATGATGATCTTGATGACACTGATGAAGCAGATGCCTGCTGGTCATGACGATGACGCTGCTTGGGGTGCTAATGATGGTGATGCTGGTGTTGTTTGTGATGGTGGTCATGCTGATGTTGATGCTGATGATGATGAGCCAGTGGTGGTGATGATTGCAGTGATGGTGGTGACATGCGTGCTTGTCATGCCGCTGATGGTGGTGGTGATGGTGATGATGACGCCGATGATGAAGATGGTGGCAATGATGCTGCTGATGATGCTGGTCGTGCAAGTGATGACGATGAAGCTGATGATGGTGGTGATCAGGATGATGCTGATGATGGTGATTGTATCGATGACGTTGACGGTGATGATAATTATGCTGATGATGACGCTGATGCTGATGAGGGTAACGATGATGGCGAGGCTGATGCTGACGGGGGGAGGAGATGATTGAGGTGGTGATGGCGTTTATGCAGCAGATGCGGATGATGGTGCTGATGATGATGACGATGGTTGTGATGGTGATGATGCTTGTGATGGCAATGGTGCCGACGCTGATGAAAACAATGATGATTGTTAGGATGGTGCTGATGATCATGATGCGGATGTGGAAAATGATGCTGGTGATGCTGATGATGATAACGTCGGTGGGTATGATACGGATGGGGATGATGATTATGAGGAGGATAACACGGATGGTGAAGGTGCTGGTAATGATGCCGATAAGGACGACGACGACGTCGATGATGATGTTGCTGTTAGCGTCGCTGATGATGCTGATGAAGATGTTGGTGCGGGCTGCGATGATGAAGGCAACGATGATGCCTATGATGATGTGGATTGCGGTGATTATGATGGCGATGGGTAAGCGGGTGATTATGATTGTGAGGATGATGGTGCTGATGATGATGGTGATTATAATGATGCTGATGCTGAGGATGATGAGGATGATGGAAAAGATGGTCATGTTGTCGATGGTGTTGATGATAGCGTTGATACTGATGCTGCCGATGAGGATGACGAAGATGACCATGTTGATGATGATGATGGTGGTCATGATGTCAGGCTCCATAGGGGGGCTGGGTGCCTTGCGTCAGCAGCTCTCGAATGGCCCTCTTCCGCTTGGCCACTGCGCGGGCCCTCGCCCGCATCAGAGCCTCGACCCTGTTAGGGCCAGCCTGGGCCGACTGAGAGCGCAGCACGTTATACGTCGAGAGCAAGAGATCATGCACAAGAATGGCACCATGCACGGCTCTACAAGACAGCATAGGAGGCCTCAACAGCAATCGATCGATAGCATTCCACTCGAGGAAATCAGGCGGCAGCGACGAAATGATCCTAGGGAGAAGTGGCAGCGGCACAGGGCACTGAAAATAGTGAGCAATGTGGTCTGAGTCTGCAGCACCGCAGCCCATGACGCAGCAGCGGTTCCCTGATCGAAATCTGGCCGACGTGGGCCACGCATTACATACTGATTTGAGGAGAGAGGAGGCAACGAATGGGGCTTGTTTGGTAGCGGCGGTTAAAATGGCTCGAAAAATAAACTCGGCGTGGCCTACGGGGGCCTCACTCCAGAACTTCCGAATCCTTGGGAAGAGAAGGGTAGGCATAGAAGGGCGTCCCATGTTCTCGGCAACGGCAATCGTGACTTTTCGCTGGACATCGTGCGTGCATTCATTGATCAACGGGCAAATCGTCATGAGCTCGTCCCAATTCTTGATCAGGGAGCCGCACATAGACTCTGCAAGCCAAGACCTGTGCCGAACAACAGCCAGTCGTTCGAGGTCTTCGTGCTCAAGAAAATGCAGGCGTTCCTTCACTCTAGCGAAGGCTGAACTCTGAAGAGCGACCCGAAACATAGCGGCCTTGTTCGTGGCCTGGAGGTGGCGGGGCTCGACAGGGAACCCAAGTTCCAGGGAGTTCTGGAGGACAAGGGTGGGGATGGCGAACCTTGGGCCCATGGTCAGCCTTTGAAGAGCGTTCGTTTCGGCTCGAATCACCTCGGGCCTAACCGGCAGTACCTGCATCATGTACGTCAAGATCGGGAAAGCTAGCGAGTTGTAGGCATAGATGTTCTGAACTAAACCGAGCTTCAGCGTCTTAATGTGCCCGATCCTGGAAAGAAACTTGACCAGCACGGGATGCCACGATGCCGCAGGCCCAGTAGGGCCGATCATCACCCCCAGATATTTCCCATGAGTGTCGACCTTGAAAGGCTTTATGTTGATACCCCACTTTTTGAACTCTTGGTTAAGCTTAAGCTCGGTTCTATCGAACTCCACGGCAATGACAATCACGCACTTCTTCAAATTCGGGAGCAGACCTGTCACGATCGAGCTCCTGAGAAAGTGCTTCATCATCGCGGGCACTGACTGCCTCAAGTCAGCCATCGCAGCGCCTACGTCGTCGGCGAAAGCGAACGGGGAGGAGGGGGTCGGTAAACGAGTCAAAATCATCTCCAGCTTCCGTAAAATAGGGTCAAAGGCCAGGGCGAAGAGGGCTCCTGAAAGAGGGCAACCTTGTTTTATGCCACGAGTGATTCGGTACCCAGGGAACCTTTTTCCAGCGAAAATGATGAAGGAGTAGAGGTCGGAATACAGCTGGCCAACTGCGCGGAGGATAAACTCGGGGATGCCCATCCGATGCAGCACGTGCAAAATCCATCTGTGGGACAGCGACGGGAACGCCGCTTTCAAATCCAGCAGGAACAGGCCAGCAAATGGACAGTCGTTATAACACGCGTATTCTAGAAATTTGCCTTCAATATCGAGGATATTGTCGATCAGGTATCTGCCTTTCACGAAGCCTTTTTGCATCGGGTTAGTAGAAAAAACTGCCTGCTGGCCCATGGGCACACATATTGCACTTGCCAAAAGCTTGTTGTCGGTGTTGCTAAGAGTGATCGGCCGAACTTGGCCAGATGGGCGAACTATGGATTCATGATCGTTATGAAGGATATCTTTGGGAAGAAACACTGTTTGCCCATGATTAAACCCCGAAGGCAGGCTGGCTCCTGCACATAATGCCTGGTATGCTTCAAATAACACTCGGTGAGCGCGCTCTCCTGCGTGTCTCCAACACGAGTAGGGAATTCCGTCAGGTCCACAAGCAGAATCGCGGCGACTGACGACGATCCCTTGGAAGGTCCCGAAATCGATTTCCCATTCAATACCAGGGGCAGCCCAAGGAATATCATCCGAAAGCTCGTTCATGATTTCCAGAAATTTTGGGTGAAGTCCAGGTCCCTGAAATTGAACCTCTCCCCAGTGTGCCGCCAGCGCCTGTGCACATTCGTCTAGCGAGCCAAGCGGGGAACCGTCAGGAGCAGAGATGCCACTCAGGTTGAGACGCCGCCGCTTCGGCGACCATGATTTCAAACGTTGGTGAAGCCGAGATCGCTGCTGCTCGACTTCCTGTAAACAATGCTCAGTGCTAGGTAGCTTCGCGAGGTCATCCAAAATTACTGCACTGCTGAGCTCATTCAGGTGATTATGGAACGCGTTATAGTCGTAATACTTGCAGCTGTCAGAGTCAATAAACCTAGACAAAACAGGGTAGGCCTTCACACACTTTTTGATCCAGGAAGAGGACTGACTCCGGGACGAACCAGGAGAGAGAGCCCGAAGGGCCCGCATGGCTTTTAGGCACACCGCGATCTTTTGCTTGTCGGTCAGGACCCCGCCCTTGAACATCCGATGATTCAGCTCCTCCCTGGCGGCGAAAAAGATGTCCTTCAGCAGGCGCAGCTGTTGGAACGGGGAGCCGACGAGGCCTACTTCTTCGATGAGGGATTCGATAGCAGGACCGAACTCGGGATGCTCTGAGACCCATCTGGGAATGCTCTGACTCTTAGAGGAACCAGGAGACAACAGCAGATAAACAGGAATGTGATCGGACACCTCATCGATGTCGTGCGCGAGACCAATTGTACCAGATTTGGGGTGCCAGTCGAGTATTTCTCCAGTTGGGGCATTCGTGTAGATCCTGTCGAGCCGAGCGACCGAGGTGACCATGTTACGTACTTGAGTCCTGTGGGTGCAGTCCGTCTGCGCAATCTCGCAGAAGGATGGGAAGACGGTGCCGAAGTGCCTGGCCAAAGTAGTGCTCCCTACAGTGGGCTCGCTGCCATCGAGGGGGATGCGCACATCGTCCTCCTCAACAAAGTTAAAATCTCCAGCAAGGAATGAGAGGCACGAGTTGCTGCTAGGAATACTTCGAGCTGCACGCGACATGAGATCATACTTAGCATGGTGAGGCAGGAGGGGTTCGATGTGTATGTTCATGATCAACATCGTGCCGTTCGCGCCAGTCACCCGCACGGAGAAGCATCGCCCTCCACTGATATGGGTGATCACGGGTTGACCTTCAAACCAATTCATCACTGACTTACGTATTGAAATAGTGCAGCCACCACTAGACGAGACAGAGCAGAAGGAGCCGAAGTGGGCGTGGGAGGGGAAGTCGCGCTCTAGAGAGCTTAAGTCGCCATCAGAACCGTGAGTTTCCTGACACATGACAATGTCATACTTGTTGATAAGCTGTGTTATCTTTGCTAGTTTCTTTCTTTGTCGTGCATGCGAGCCGCGCACGCTACCAAACAGAGTGGCCGAATTATATGTGACAATACTTAACTTGTTGCGAATTATGAAAGACGCACTCTCTTCAGCACCAGACGGAGGAGGAGGCACAGGAGGGGGAGATCTGCCGTCCAGCGGATCTTGTGTGTGGGCACCCATAGCCAGCAAGGCTTCGCCGCGCACACGATCTGCCAACCTTGGCGAGCATACGCCGTCCTCCAGACGGCGACGTGAAAGAGGCGGTGCGAGAGTGGCACAGGATATCTGCACAGGAATTTCCTACTCCGTCAGCAACGCCTGGACACGGTCCGAGATCCCGTTCGTGAACGATTCCTCCAGATGGAAGTGCTTGAAGCTCATGGCGTCTACGTCGATCTCGAAGCGCCCTTCGCCGTTGCCGTTCACCTCCTTCAGCTTGACCATCTCGTATGGGTCGCCGTTCTCCATCAAGTAGAGGATGCCTTGGAATGGGTTGGTGCCGAGCTTCATGGAGGATGCGTTCCACAACATCTTACTCTTCATCTCGGCCTGGATGATGTTGTAGGCGAGACCCAGGGCGTAGGCCTTGTGCCTTACAGGCAATGGCTGGTCCTTGCCGAGCCGAAGGTCGTGGGTTTGCGATGTACGCGGGTCGATCCATCTCATCGCAATGCCTTTGAAGTGGCCCCAGCAGCTGTCAGCCTGGGCCTTGTTCTCGAAATCGATTGCGTACGAGTACTTGAAATTCTGGAATTTCGGCGTCACCTTGGACGCCAGCTCCGATGGGAGATTCGACTTGAGGACTGAGTAGCGCGCCTCGAACTGCGTCTGCATCAGCTTGCGTGGGAAGCCTCTGATCCATAGGCGGCATGGGTTGCTTACATCATATGGCCCAGCCGAAACCGCGCGAGGCCGACGAGCTTGGGATCCCGACGATGTAGCCGATGAAAGCGATGGCGGCCGTGAAAGTGTCGACACCTGCGAGCTCAGCGTGGTCACCTGTTCCTGCAGCTTGTCGAGGATGTCGGCCTTGTCAGCGGGGACGCCTGTGTGCATGGCGTCAATCTTGGAGTGTAACTCGGCGAAGCTTTTGTTGGTGCTCTCCTCGAACTGGGCCATCCTGGCTTCGTTGGCCTGGACCCTCTCGCTGAGCATCTTGCATTCAGCAAGTCCCTGATCGACAGCATTGAACCTGGCCATGATCTGAGCGAGCGCATCCCCATTGTCGGCCGGCGAGCCCACGACTGGGGACGAGGCTGTGGCGGTAGACCTGGGAGCGGGAAAGATAGCTCCCACCCTCGGAGGGCCACTGGTCGGGAGACTAGAAGTCACAAGTGAAGGCCCTGTGCCTTCCAAAGCAGCTCGAGCTCCCCGTCGGCTGCGACCAAGGTCGAAGCGCCAGGGAAACGTTTCGACCTTGAGCCAAAATGGCTACGGAATGATGATGGTGGTCATGATGAAAGCGATGATGATACTGCGCTTGCTGATGATGGTGATGATGGTCATGATGATGCTGATGATGACGACATTGTTGATGGTTCTGATGATGCTGATGCTGAAGGTGGTGACGATGCTGATGATGGGGCTGACGAGGATGCTGATGAGGATGACGGTGCAGATGGCGATGGTGTCGATGGTGATGTTGGTGAAGATGCTGTTGATGATGATGATGCTGATGACATCGATGCTGATGGTGTTAATTGCGATGGTGTTGCTGCTGTTGATGATAATTGTGCTGATGACGACGGTGTTGGAAGTGGTGATGGTGCTGATTATGATGATGATGGTGATGTTGTTGATGATGCTGATGATGGTGATGGTGTTGCTGATAACGATGGTGTAGTTGTTGGCGGCTTAGAATCACCAACAAGTACACCAATAAGCATCATCGTCAACTACATTGTTTTGTTGATGATGATGCTGGTGATGGTGTTGCTGTTGTTGATGATGATTGTGTTGCTGATGTCGATGATGTTGATGGTGGTAGTAATGATATTGATTATCCTGATGGTGAGACTGGAGATGACGGCGACGACGATGATAAAGATTGTGATGATGATGATGATAATGGTGATGATGATGATGCTGTTGACGATGGTGTTGATGACGATGCTGATGATAAGGTCGATGACGTTTTTTTCACCGGTGCCAGAGCTTAGAAAGGGATACCTGACCAACTGAAATACACTGGGCTGCCACGAGTCTGGTCAGCCTGCTGCAGCGAGAGTGAGCACAGTGCAACTGCCCTTTGAAAAAGGTGAAGAGGAGGCGGAGGGGAGGAGGAGGAAGCAGCGTGACTTGAGCCGTAGGATTACGGACCAGTGGCACCTCACAAAACCTCGAGACCCAAATCTACAAGTAGTGCAAGGTCGATGACGTTTTTTCACCGGTGCCAGAGCTTAGAAAGGGATACCTGACCAACTGAAATACACTGGGCTGCCACGAGTCTGGTCAGCCTGCTGCAGCGAGAGTGAGCACAGTGCAACTGCCCTATCCCACCTCTTGTGCTCTGGCAATTGTCTTGGCAAGAAGTGAGCAGAGGGCGGGCGGGTAGGGTTCTGCGCGCTTTGTCCAAAAAACTCCTGTGGGGTCTTTGCCCTCTAACGCCCAGTGGGGCAACTTAGTTCTAGTACAAAGCGACGTGGTACATTTTCTCGTCAGCGAGCTGAGGCCAGGGACAGTGCCAACAAATTTTGTGGCTTTTCGCCAGCGTTCCCCGAACATACAGAAGTCAAGTCGAGCGGTGGAAAAGTGCAGTTCTGTAAGCAACTGTATTATTTCGGGAATTACCCACAAAATTGACGTGAGAGGATTCTCGATCGTAACTGTGATACCTTTTTTTCGCAGCTAGCCGACAGGCTTTTATTACAAACGCAATGAGATTATTTGCGGCAACTGCTTTGCTGAGGCCCGAGCCCTCCAGGTCCGGGTAACCCCAGGGAAACTCGTTTGACCTGAGAGGCGGAGGTCCAGAGCCTCCGGGACGCCGTGCACGCGAGAGGGTCTGACAGGGCAGCGCAAAGTGAAGATGGCAATAACTATGCTGGCGAATGCCTCTCATCAGTCGTTTTTGCGCGCCTGAGAGTGTGAGGTCACACGACGGTCCATCCAGTATGTCCCAACCTTCACAAGGAATTCCACGACGTGCGAGCGCCTTGGCTAGCCTCCCAGAACCTGCGAAGACCTCCGCCGCTTTCCGACTAGGCGGCGGCCTTTTGTCCGAGGAGGTCGGTTGAGATGCATAGAACGTCCATGGAGCCACTCGTCGAGGTACTGCACGGCGATCCGGCTGTAGGCCAGGGTGTCCGACGGCGTGCGGTTGATCGCCTGCTGCACCTTCCCAAACTTTTCGTAGCGTCTGACGGAGTTGAACGTCTTCCAGCCCCCGCGCTTCTGGATCTCGGAGAGGTCGCGCCTCTTCAGCATGGCATCCCTCGAGGCACCTCCGTGCCTGGCTTGGTGCGTGCAGAGCTGCTCGGCGGCGAGCCCGACGAGGTCGGCGGCGTCCTCGAACGCGTCCTTGTACTGGCTGATCGACAGGCGGAACAGCTTCTCGCTCGGATCCCGCCCCTTCGCCAGCTGCACCAGGTGGGTCGAGATGTGCGCGTCCAGGTCCTCGACTGTGACAGTGTCGTCGAAGCTCCCCGTTTTGCGCGGCTGCCCCCTCTCCTCCGGCCGTATGACAAGGCAGAGGCGGTGGTAGCCCCGGAGGCGGGGCGCAGGCAGCACTACGTCCCCAACCTGCAGGTCCGTAATTTCCCCAGGTCGGGAATACGCATCGTGGGCCGCCAGCAAGCAGAGGGCCGCACCCCGCCGCTTCGTGGCCAGCAAGGTCCCCGCTATGGAAGCCGTCCATTCCCAAGGCAACCCAAAGCGAGAGGCGCCGGGGGCGGACTTGCGGAAGCCCCTCAGCGCCCTCCTCATCCGCGTCAGCGGCAGGGCAAGAGGGCGAGGGCCGCCACTCCTCATGAACTTGAGGGCCCCGAGGAGCTTGTCCCCCGATGACGCCTCGTAGCCCTGCAGGTAGATCGCGTCCAGGTAGTCGACCGCCGCCGCGTCCACGTCCTCGTCCGAGTGTAGTGGGATGCCTTCGTTCGCGGCCCACTTGACGAACTCGGCGTAGGTCGTCCTGTACGTGGCCGCCTGCTGGGGCTGCACCGACGCCTGCTCCAGGATACTGAGCTGGTGCGGGTCTCTCTTGAGCAGGAGCGGCCCGGGGGTAACACCCCCCGCTGGGACTGCGTGCCTCGCCCTTCGGGCCTTGGCACGGTCCTCGCGAAGGCGGCGACTCCGCTGCGCCGATGGGTGGTCCTTCGGCGGCTGAAGCAGGCTTGCCGCCGGAGGCGCGGCCGATCTCGATGAGCTCGTCGATGCTGTAACGACGGACAGCGCGCCCTCCGGCGGCGCAGGGGGCCGCTTGCGGTTGGCCGCGGGCCCCGCAGGCCTCAGTACATGAGCCGACGCCGCCTTCGTTGAAACTGGCGTCCGAGTCGGTGCTCGGAGCATCGATCGTGGGAAACTCCCCACTGTGAGCCAAGTGGTGACAGGTAGAAGAGGATGAAGGGAAATATTTACGTCCGTGGTGTGCCCGCGTCGGGGCTGAGGGTTCGAACATCCGAGAAGGCGCATCAGCATGATTAACTTCAGATGCGACCCAGCGCCATTTGAACTTGCAATTGAGGGCGACCGCGTAAGCCGCAACACTTCTACAACAACCCAGCATACGATAGTCCCCACTGCGCCCCTTGAGGAAGGCCAAGATGGAGCCCATGGAGTCCCCGAGGATGAGGTGCTTCTTGTTGCGGTTTCCAACAGACCTCCCAAGAGACTTGCATACCAATCTTCCAGTGCGGGCCTCCAGCAGGGTGATGTGCTCGTCCCGAAACCAGGGCTTTGACAGGATGGTGCGCCAGGAGTCCTTCTCGAGCAACTTTGTGGGGACCTCCGGGAACCCGCGCCTTCTCTTCCAGGGACGCGGGGGCGGTGGTGCGACAGGGAGTACTGTTTCAGCATTTTCGATCACATCTCGGAAGTGCCAGAGAGCCCCCGCACGCGCGCCCCTCGCGAGCGCATGAGGCTGCTTGAAACGCCACCGCTCATTGTACTGGCCAGTGCTGGCTATGAGCTTCTCGTCGAAAATGCCCTGGACGATCCCGAGGCCTGTCTCCGATGAGTCGAACATGTGGGCAGTGGAGCTCCACGGCCGGCGGAGGTTGGTACGAGCAAAGCGGACCAAAGATGACAGCCACTCACACTCCCGCGCGGCGGACTGCCACAAGCGGACCTTCTGCTTGTAATGCACCCTGACGGAGCGGTAGCACGAACCGAAGATGCTCAGCAGGGAGCGCTCGCCCATGAGCTGGAAAGTGCAGTGCCCCAAGAAGCGCTCAAGCATCGCGCCCGTGATCTTCGGGCGACGCGCAAGCCAGCGGCCCGCGGCGGCAAGGCGGGTGGCCCTCCTGGCCGTAGGCCCCACCTCGCCAGTCAAGCCGCCGATGGCGAAGCCGAGACTCTCGGCCCAGAGGGAGGCGTCCTCCTCCTCCTCGTGGACGGCGAAGCCGTCGGCCGTGAGCTGGCGAGCCACTGCGATCCGAGCGCCGTCGGCAAGCCCCGGGGAGCCCGCCCCAGTGGCATGGTTGTCGCAGTACGGCAGCGACGCGAGGCCGCGGGGCCCAATCGTCGGGCCAGGCTGACGATCCTGTAGTACCAGTCCGGCGGTGTCCGGAAGCACCCCCTCGACGACGGAGGAGTGGGCGATCTGCGCCAGGTAGAAGCTCCAGCTGAAGCCCATGGGCAGCACTCGAAAGGCGGGCGCAACTGCGTCACGCCCGTAGAAATGGCTAAAGCGGCTGTCGTTGCCCTCCAGCTCGGAGACGAGCCAACCTGGGACGTCGTCGAGGCAAAAATAGCTGGAGAGATCATCGTCGATGCCGCAGGCGTAGAAGTAGTCCTTGATGTCCGACAGGCTCACCCAGAGGTCGGCGTCGTCCTCCAGGAGAATCTCTCCCCAGCTCGAGCCGGTACCCATAGGTAAATGAGGACACCGCCGGAAGCGCCTGTTGGTGGCGCGGCAGTCCACCACGAGCCTCTGCTTGCCCGTCTTCTTGGCAACACAGAAGACAGTGACTCGCCCGCGTACCAAGGGCGCCCAGCGGATAAGACCTGCCGAATGACAGTCTCGGACAAACTGAAAATAGGCCTTCTTGGAGTAGCGAAGCTTCGGATCCATGTAGAGGTTGATGGGATCCGCCTTCTCACACACGGCGCCCCACTCTTGATCATCGAGCAGAATGTTGTTCAGGTCCTCGAGACAACAGCGAACCTTCGGCGGCAACATCTCCTTAACAGGGGCGGGTTCCGCCCCCACGTGGGGGATGCTGAGAAGGTTCCGGTCGTAGGACTGCACCAAGGTCGACTCGCCACCGTACGCGGAGTCTGTCCCGAGGAGCGCGCGCACGGCTCCCTCGGAGCCGAAGTCACCTTGCGGCGGTTCGGCTGCGTCATGCACTGAACGAATGAATTGAATGGCCTCCCGCTGACACTGCGAGGGCGTGGAAGATGACGGCGTCAAATGGCCATCGAGAGCGTTGAGGGCCTTGATCGTGCGATTGACCTCGGCCTCCACTGCACTCCGCTTCAAAACTCGTCGCTGTACCGAGCGACTCACGCTGTGATCTTGAAGATGTTCGACCTCGAGCTCAGGAAGAGGAAAGAGATCACGAGGAACTTGTAAAGGTAGACGGGGCCCCTTCTCGTACTTGAACCCAGCCGCCGGAGTCCCATAGGTAGCGACTGGGCCCTGGGAGCTGGTCATGGCCCCCCTGCGCCGGAACCGCCGGCGCCCCCGTCTCCCTCTCCGCCGCCTTTACCACCGCGGCCACGGCCTTTCGGCTTCCGGAGGCGGATCTCCTCGTCGAGCTTCCGCCCCTCCTTCAGAACTGCTGCCCGATCACGAGCTGCGTCGGCGGCCCGCTTCTTGATAGAAGGCGCCACCAGAGCGGCACCACGCTGCACGCCCCAGCCCATGAAGTCGTCCGAGTTGCTGTAGTCGGGGTTGCTGGGGTTGTACACGTGGGCCTGCTCGATGAGCTGCAGGCGTCGCCCGAGCAGCTCGAAAGAGGTCAAGGTCATCGTGTTCAACTGGTCCAGCTCGATCGCGAGGTCGAAGACCTTGGAGATCACGAAGTGCTCGTGGATGCTGCGGTCGCCGCTCGGGATGCCGCTAGCCGGTGGCGCGCCACCATCCCCTCGGCGGACTGGGCAACCTCGGTGAGCAACCACGGGAGGCTCACGTCGCCCTGCAGCGGTGAGTCGCCGAAGTCGTGGAACTCTTGGAGCGAGATGGCCTCGCGGAAGTTGCGGCCGCGCTGTTGAGCCGACCTCCACTTCACAGGAATGACCCTCGCATCGGTCTCCCGATCCCGGAGCAACTTGATCATGCCCGTGTCCTGCCGCAGCACCTCCTGCAGTATCAGAAACTTGGCGCCTCGCTTGACAAACCACTAGGAGCCCAAGCCGATCGTGATGTCGCCTGGGATGTAAACGCATTCCTTCTCAGCCTCTGGGTCGCCGTCGGCCGAAGAGCCAATCACCCAGATTATGCGTCCAGCTGCTGGCGCTGGAGGAGGACCTTCGCGAACGGCGCCTGACTCAGAGTCGAGCGCATGCTGCTCAACCCTCGCGTCAGAGATCGCCCTCATCACCAATAGCGGGGTAGGAGGTCCAGCTGGGCGGTCTGCGCGGAAACTGTATGTATTGGCCGCCACCGGCGGAGGAAGCGGACGTACTTGCAGCTGAAGATGGGGCACCTCCGCGTCGTCGTAGTACGCGATACCCTCCAGCGGAGGCGCCACCAGCTCCTCCGGGTAAACGTCCCCGTCCGGGGTGAGCACCCACCAGACCATGCCCCCATTGTACAGGGACTCGCCCGTGCACTTCTGCATCGCCATCTCCGAGGCCGGCTCGAGGAGGACCCGCTCGTTCCACTTGGGTGGTGGCGCCGGGAGCGGGTCCGGCTGGTAGAACAGACTGACCTTCCGCCCTGCCTCGAGAGTGATCGCCGCCATCCAGCCGAGCCTCCAATCGATGCTCTCCCGACGCCACCCGCACTCTGCAACGCGCACACCGAGAAACAACCTTCACGAAATACACGCTCACAACTCCCGTGATCACGCCGAGGCCGAATGCGGCCGACGTGAAGAACTGAGCGGGGTCCACGCCCGTCAAGCAAGAATAGGCAGCCGAGCCGATGGCGCGGCGGCAGCTGGGCTCGCCAGCAATGGAAACTGAGCTGGAGGCGAGCCAGGCGAAACCTGAATGCATCGAGGACGGGCACCTCTAAGCAGCGTGACTTGAGCCGTAGGATTACGGACAAGTGGCACCTCACAAAACCTCGAGACCCAAATCTACAAGTAGTGCAATGCTCATGTGGATGCTGCTGATGCTGATGCTGATGCTGATGCTGATGCTGATGCTGATGCTGCTGCTGCTGTTGATGATGATGATGATGATGATGATGATGATGATGGTGATGATGATGATGATGATGATGATGATGATGATAATGATGATGATGATGAGGATGATGATGATGATGATGATAATGGTGAGGGGGAGACCGCCACCACAGCCGCGGCGCAGCCGCCCGCCGCCAGCGCCGACGCCCAGCCTGTCCACAGGTCCAGCGACAAGGCGTAGGAGGCGGCCTAGAGCGGGGGGTAAGATGCCTCCTCCAGGGAGGAGTGACTTCCCCTCCTCTCTCGTCGTTTTCCTCCTCCTCCTCCTCCCCCTCCTCCTCGTCATCGTCCCCCCCCTCCCCTCCTACCGTCTGCTTTCCTCCTGCCCTTCCCTTCCATCCCCGTCCCCTTATCAACCTGACCGTCTCTCCAGTTCCAACTCCTCCTCGCCCTCCTCTCCTTTCCCCACTTGAGCCGCAAACGTGTCCGACATTCTAATGCACGGATGGAAGGCGGACCATGCCCCAAATCAGGCTAGCGCCTGGAATATGGACCCGGTTCTTGATTCCGTAGCATTACACATGCAGACGGGGGCGGCCCGTGTTTTTGAACGGTGCTGTGGTTTCAGGTCTCTTCCGGTGTTGCGCACAGAAGCTTGAAGCTGTGCGCCAACTGCTCGGATGGCGGGCGGATCCTTACGAGAACGGACACGTCGCTGGACACGCGCCTGCGCTGTCTGCCGGTCGCTGATGGCACACCGTGAGCCAAAAGGATGAATGGTGCCTCCGTGTCGAAGCGGGGCTCTCGCCTCAGAGGCAGGCTCTTGGGGCGCTGGCATGTCACAGGGCAGTATTTTTAATACATGGGATTGTTAAAAACATATGATTTCTTGTAATGGTTAATTTATGCATAAATGCATGCATAAACCCATTGTTGTTTTTAATGCTAAGCCCTGCATTTGTTGATACATGATCCGCACGCAGAGCATGTATTAAAAACGGCACTGTAGAAAGGGGGAGCTCCTTCACGGAACAAGAATGATTGCAGGGTGTCGTGAGGCCAACCCCTCTCCTGCCATGTTTCGTGACGGCCGCTGTGGCAGACCCGCGGCCAACCGCGCGAGATACCGCTTCCCCGTGATTGTCGAGAGCAGGGGGGAGGAGGAGGGCGAATGGGACAGGGAGCGGGCCAAGACAGGTAGGAAGAGCAGAAAAGACGCGACAGTGGTATCTATATTCCTTGGAGATCCAACGCATTGAGACAACAAGACTGTTTTTTGTTCGCAATGTTCGGACTCTACGGGGCCCTCGCTGGTCCCGAGACCGTCAAACATAACTCATAATGAAAAACCGGTCTTGCGGAATAGGCCGAGACTTCCGGGGATCCAGTATTGAAAAAATCACGGCATCGGATCTCTGGGTCTCAGTTATGAAATTCCAGCGTGGGCTCAACACATTCCGCGAATACGGCCCACGTGGCGCAAAGGCACGCAGTGAAAGGCAATGCAGCGAAAGAGCGCGACGTCGGCCGCCTCGAATGCTTGGGACACTCGGGCGCAGCTAAACACAACCAGAGACACCTGGGCGCTGTGGCGCACGACATGAGCGCAAGCCGAGGCCGACGCAAGTTCCCGGGACAGCTGGGCGCGCATTTCGTGGGCAAGCCCCCCCCGCTCGAGCTCGTTTGGTCAGGCTCCGCCCACCAGCGGCTCCCTTTTAGGGAAACCAAAAGGCACCCATTCTGCTACGTACTCCCTGGACCTCTCTTGAGGTGCGTTCGGACCAGAACTTCGAGGCGAATCCAGCGATGGCGACGAGGGCCTCCCAGGAGGCTCAACAACATTAGAAGGAGGCTGCTCCTTAGAAGGCGGGGGCTTTACGTCTACAGACACGGCCCGCGCCTTCTAACAAGCCGGGTGCTTCTACGAAGCCTTCCCCCTTGCCTCCCCCTACCCCCCCCCCCCTTCTGCACATGGCCGAAGCACGCCGCGGTATCGATGGCTGCCCCTCCCCTGACCCTCGGCAGCACAGCCGAGCCACGCCCACCGCGCCACGCGCCGCCCCTGGCTGCGCCCACCGCGCAGCTCGGAGTGGGCTGTCCGAGGACCCGCCGCCCACCGGCCGGCTTTTGAGCGAAGCTGGCCCGCGCCGCTGGGCGCGGCTACGCTCGGCGGCGCGCCCAAGAACCAAGAATGGTGCGAGGGGGGGGGGGGGGCGGGGGGAGCGGCCCTCTGAGCAAGCGGCGGGCTTCTCAGAGGGGCCCTCGGGGGCTCTGATGGGGGCCCCTTGGAGAGCGCGAGGGCCTCCGAGGACGAGGAGGAGAGCGATGAGACTACGGCAAGTCCGTGAGACGACGACCCAGGCGTTGGCTTCCGACCCCGCGTGGATGGTCCAACCTCGATCGCGGCCTCACGATGACGCAAATCGTTCGATATCGGTCGGTTCTGGGCCACCGGCGGCGCTCAACCGTGAGCGCCCGCACCAGGTCACCGCTGGGGTAACGCGGCATGAACCTGCCGTAGACGGGTCTTACGCGAGATGATATAGCGACCTTCCGCGGCGGGGCACGCGGGCCGCCAGCGTGGCACACCACCTTGGAAACGAGGGCACTTATGCGCGACCTTACGCGGGCAGCTTACGCGACAGTGTCGGTGAAAACAATCCCGTTGTTCTACATCGCTCAGATGGTAACTGGCAGACGACAACGAAGACTCACGACAGTAGAGGCCAATATGTCTGGAACTGTTTGGTTAAAAACGACCGCGTGGCAGATGAGGAGGAGGACGACGACGAGCAGGGAAGAGGGCATGGCGCCCGAGGGCCTGGGCGGACAGCAGGGGGGCAAAGCTGGACGCGCGCCCACCGTTGCGCAGCCACAGGTTCCTGCGGACACCGTCGCGTGGCGGTGGTGGGCTTGCGTGGCGCTCTGCAAGGGCCTCGCTCGTCCAGATCCCCACTTCTCCTCCTGCTTCCTCCCGCCTCATTGGTCCCTCCCCCTTCTCCATCCCTCCTTCTGGTCCCCCTCCTGATACTCCTGCTCCGCCTCCGCCTCCCCTCCGCCTCTTCTTGTTTCTTCTCTCCACCCCGCTACGTAACCCACCCCCTTCTTCCTCACTCTTGCCTCATCGCTCCTCATTGCTCCGTTCCCTCCTTCCTTCTCACCTCCTGGGACCCCGCTTCCTCCTCCTCCTCCTCCTCCTCCTCCTCCTCATCATCATCATCAGCATCAGCATCATTATCACTCATCATCATTCATTCATCGTTATCATCAGCAGCATCAGCATCAGCATCAGCATCAGCAGCAGCATCAGCAGCAGCAGCATCAGCATCAGCATCAGCATCATCATCATCATCATAATCATCATCATAATCATCATCATCAGCATCATCATCATCATCATCATCATCATCATCATCATCACCATCACCATCACCATCACCATCACCATCACCATCAACATCATCAGCAGCATCATCATCAGCATCATCATCATCGTCATTCTCTCGCAGCGCCGCGCGACGATCCCGCACGGCAGCTGCGCCCTGCCCCTCCTCCTCCTCCTCCTCCTCCTTCTCCTCCTCCTCCTCCTCCTCCTCCTCCTCCTCCCCCTCCTCCTCCCCCTCCTCCCCCTCCTCCCCCTCCTCCTCCCCCTCCTCCCCCGCCTCTTCCTCCTCCTCTTTCTCCCCCTCCTCCCCCTCCCCTCTCCTCCTCATTCTCCCCCTCCTCCTCCTTGTTTCTCCTCCCTTCCCGCTCCTGAACTACCCTGCATCCCTCCTTCCCGGTCCTGCTCCCCTCCCAGGCCGTTGCCCAGGCCTCCGCCTCCTTCGCCTTCCCAGGCCTCCGCCTCCTTCGCCTGCTCCTCCCGCTGACTGTCCGCCCTGTTCCTCCGCGCCCCGCTGCTTCTCCGCCTTCCCGCTGCCCTCACGCGGCAGGGGAGGGGCGCGGCAGCGGCGGGAAGGGTAGGCGAGAGGCGCTGGTTCTGCGGCAACGGGGGCGGGGAGGAGGGAGGAGGGAGAGCTGCGGGAGAGCTCGTCGCATCCAAGAATGGGCAGGAGAAGGCGGGGGCGCCCGAGAGGGGGCCGTGCAAGAGGGGGGGGTGGGTCGCAACTCGTGGCCCGAGGTATGGGCGCGGAAGACGGGGGACGTGCTGAAAGGGTAAGAGGGGCCATGAGATCTGGGAGACGTCAAAGCCTCCGCCATGAGATCCACACGCCCCTGGGGCCCTAGTCGTCTAAAGGGGCCCAAGGACACACAAATAAAGAAACACAACACCACGGATCCCCTATATGTTTCAACATTGTTCTGTATGTTCGATTGTTTCCTGGTGTCCACGATTTTGTCATGTGTGTTCCATCTCCTCCTGATCGCCACCGACCCCCCGCCCCCCGACGTACGGGGGAGCGGAAACGGTGAGATCTGGCCTGGCATTCGTGGAGAGTCCCGCCGCGGGCGACGAGGACACCCCAGAAGCCCAGGGAGGCCTTAAAACATAGATCCTCGACCTCCCTCCTCCTCCTCCTCCTCCTCCTCCTCCTCCTCCTCCCCCTCCTCCTCCTCCTCCTCCTCGTACTGCTCCTTCATCTCTATCTCCTCCTCCCTCCCTCCTCCCTCCTCCTCCTCCTCCTCCTCCTCCTCCTCTCCTCCTCCCTCCCTCCCTCCCTCCCTCCCTCCCTCCCTCCCTCCCTCCCTCTCTCCTTCCCTTCCTCTCTCCCTCCCCCTCCTCCCTCCCTCCCTCAGTCCCTCCGTCCATTATCATCCCTCCCTCATCTTGCAGCCGACGGAGCGAAACAGGGAACACGTTCGGCCCGGAAGGGGCTCGGGGCCCCCCGTGGCGGCCGCAGGTTGCCGGGGGTGGCCCTGGCCTCGGGTGCCCCTGGCTCTTCGCTCCAACTTGGAGCCTCATGGGGGCATCTGAGCATCGTGGTGGGGTGCCCTGCAGGGCTCGAGTCACGCAGTGCTCTCTGTTTTCGTGCTGTTTTCGTCTTCCCTCGTTCTGTCTTCGTTCCGCCTCTGGTGCAAGACGACATCAAAACGAGAGCGGTTCACGCAGCCGCCCAAGCACCATTCGGCTCGAGCCCTGGTGCTCTGTGGGCCCTGTGGGGCCCCCGGCCAGGACCAGACCGGCGGGCGCAGGCCCACAAGCAGCACGGCGGCACCACCCTCTCTCGGGCCGTGCGCCGATCAATTCGGCAGGGCCCCCACAGAGGCGATCCGCACGAGCGGTCCAGGGGGCCAGGCTCGGGCACGCACTGGTTGTCGGGCTGCAAGAGAGGAGGGGGGGCCGGAGGGCGGCCGAGGAGGGCGGGAGAAAGAGGGAGGGCATTCACTGCACGAAGACCTTTGTCAGTCAGGGTTGCGGGTGGTTCCGGGATTGGCCGCAAGGAGCCTGTGGATGCCGCGTGGGGTTTGGAAGGCACCCGCCATCGCACGGGCCGGGAGCCGCGCTCGTCGCCGCCCGTGGGAGGCCAGCGCCCTCCTCCACTGGGCGCGAGGGGATCCCCCGCAGGTGGCTTGAGCCAAAGTGGCTACGGACCTCCTCCTCCTCCTCCTCCTCCTCCTCCTCCTCCTCCTCCTCCTCGTCATCATCATCATCATCATCAGCATAATCACCATCAGCATAATCAGCATCATCATCACCATCATCATCAGCATCAGCATCACCAACATCAGCATGACCATCATAATCCTCAACATCACCCTCATCCTCATCATCCTCATCCACATCGCCGTCGTCATCGTCATGGTCACAGTCATCATTATCAGTATCGTCATCATCATAACTATCACCATGAGGTGACCTGCGGGACATGGCGTCAGATGGACAGGGCGTCAGATGGGCCCGATTCGCAACTGGATGCGCTGAGTTTGCAGCTGGACGAGCCCAGTCCGTAGCCAGATGGGCTCCGACATTAATTAAACCAGATGGGCTCTGAGCTTCGCCAGAATAGCTCGGTTGGCGCCAGATGGGCTCTGATGCATGCGCGTTCTGTTGTCACCTGGACGCCCCAGGCTGGAGCAGCAACTGAGCTGATTCGGCACCACCGGATGGGGTCCGAAGGGACCCCCCCTGGGTCCCTATCGGGCCCCTGCCGTGCTTCTTTTCTCTCGACGCGAAGGGCCCGGGGCTCTGGCATCTGGCAGCGGACTTGCGCGCGGCGGGGCCGATCGGGGCGGCCCAGATCTGCCCCCCGTGCGTCGTTCAGGGGAGGAGGGGGAGAGCATGCTGCCACGCATGAAATGAACGCTAATGGAAAAATCAATGGAGAGGCGATGATGCCTCATGTGATCGCCGGCTATGATGCTCGCTCGTGCCCACCCCCTCCAGTCTTCAGGGACTTCGCGTCTACCTAAACGCTGGTAGGATGGGAAGACGGGCCGCCAACCACGGCACTGCACGTACTGTGCCCAGTCAGCCGGCGTCCCCACCAGCGCTGCCGAAGTACCTCCGCTGTAGCTCGGGGGCGACGACCCCGTGGAAGAGAGCGCTCGCGGCGACGAGGCCGAGCGCCAGGGCCGCGCGGCCGCCCTCGTCCAGGCCCTCGACGACAGGGCCCGCCGCGAGCGCCGGCAGCTGCGAAACCGCCGCCGCCGCGGCGAGCGCCGTCGTCAGAGCGGATGCGCGCCTGGCGGCCGCTGTCGGCGGCCCGTTCGCCTGAGGAGGAGGAGGAGGAGGAGGAGGAGGAGGAGGAGGAGGAGGAGGAGGACCAGTGCAAACCCAAGATCCATCAAAGATCTTGCAACCTCCAAGCTCCCTATCCGTTGGCCCCTGCAAGGATTACCTTCACTTCGGGAAGCCCTCGGTTGGAAGAGAAGAGGAACCTTTGAAAATCCAGAACTGCGCCAGGACACCATTCCTGGGACTTTAACGCCACGAGTCAGCTGCGTCCTGACAATCCTGAACCGTGTCAGGGCACCAGTCCTGGGACTTCGGCACCGCGAATCAAAGTGACTGCTGCGCCCTGACGTTTCGACATCTTGATAAAACACCATTTCTGGGACGATAAACATAACAAGGTTTGAACTGGCGCAAATTCTTAAGACGAGTGAGCGCGGCGCTAAGGCGAGAACTACATTTTGTAAAAGGACCGCCCTCCATCCGTGACACGATTGCAAATTGCAAGCTTCAAGGTCAGACATGGGGTTCTCAAACGAAACGCCCGGCCCGCTCTGTCGACCAGTGCGTCAGAGAGGAGTTAGTCACAAGTAACAGGGATGTGGGAGGAGGAGGAGGAGGAATAGGAGAAGCAGGAGGAGGGGGATGAGAAGGAGGGAAGGAGAAGGAGGAAGATTTAGGGGGGATGAGGAGGGAGAGGGGGATGACGATGATGATGATGACGATGATGGTGATGACGATGTTGATGTTGATGTTGATGTTGATGTTGATGATGATGATGATGATGATGATGATGATGATGATGATGATGATGATGATGATGATGATGATGATGATGATGATGATGATGATGATAATGATGAATCTAAGGAGGGGAAGGAGGAGGAGAAGGAGGCGGAGAGGGAGGAGAAGAGGAGGAAGTGGAGGAGGATGAGGAGGAGGAGGAGAAGGAGGACGAGGAGGAGGCGAGTGAGGAGGAGGAGGAGAGGGACTAGGAGAAGGTACAGGATGAGTAGGAGGAGGAGGAGGAACAGAAGAAGGAGGAGGAGGGGAAGGAGGAGGATGAGAAACAGAAGAGGAGGAGGAGGTGCGGTACAGGAGGAGGATAAGGAGGAGGAGGAGCAGGAGGAGGGAGGGAGGAGAGAAGGAGGGGAGAGGAGGGGGAGGAGGGAGAGAGGATGAGGAGGATGGAGGAGGAGAAGGAGGGGAGGAGAAGGGGCAGGAGGAGGAGGTGGAGGAGGTGGAGGAGGAGGAGGAGGAGGAGGAGGAGGAGCTCTGGTACTCAACAGGCATCACGGAGGAGGTTTGGAAAGTCAAAAAAAGGAAGAGGAGGAGCAGGAAGAGGAGGATGAGGAGGAGGACGAAGGTAAGGAGAAGGAGGAGGAGGAGGGGGAGGAGGAGGAGAAGCGGAGGACGAGGAGGAGGACGAGGACGAGGAGGAGGAGGAGGAGGAGGAGGAGGAGCATGAAGAGGAGGAGGAGGTGGAGGAGAGGGAGGGGGAAAAGGGAGAGCAAGGGGCCCGAGGCGCTCGGCAGTGCCGCCCCGCGCTGGGGCGGCCGCCGCCCTGGACGGCCCAGCGGCGCGCCCCCGGCAGGGCACGGCGCTCGCGGGCGGCGCCGCGGGCGCGTGGTGGCCCTGCGGGGCCCTCGGGCGCGAGCGCGGCCGCGAGGTGCACGAGGCCTCTGGGAAGGCCCAAGCGAACCGAGCCCCCAGCTCAGCGTGCCTCGGCGGCGAGCGAGGGGGTGGAAGTGAGACATTGTCTTTGTCTTCGGGGAAGGCTCAGAGCATTTCTCAGAAGGCCCAGGGACTTCCGAGTCTTCTGAGCAGGCCTTCTCCTTCTCGCTCGCCCCCCGTGCTCGCCGCCGAGTGCCCCAATGAGGTACCGCAGCGGCCACGGCTCCAGCCACGGTGGGCGCCAAAACGCAGCCGCTGGGCGTCCCGAGGGGTGCCCCGAGGCATCCTCTGCAGGGTACGTTTGTTCTGGGGTGCGTTTGGGTCCCCTGAGGCCTGCGGCACGGAGGTACCCCGAAGAGCCCTGACTCCCTAGGGGGTCATGGACAAAATCACGGCAGGAGGCTTTCTGGTATGTTCGGCCTCCGAGGGGCCCTCGCCAGGCAGCGGGGCCGTCAAACAACGGCTCGGGGTGAAAAGCCAGTCCCGGGGAATGGGTCCAGACCTCTGCAGGTCCACGTCATGATGCAGTCACAACGTGGGGGGGGGATGTTTCCCCCGCCCGACAGTGTGGGCTTGTGGGACTGAAAAAGAAAAGCTCCCGACCCGCCTCGGCCGCCAGGCCCAAAGTGTGCCCGTTGCTCCATGGGTCTCCCGCCTCGTGCCTTCCTCGACTGACGGCTGCATACCGTGGCCGCCAGGCCCAAAGTGTGCTGGTGCTCCCTAGGTATCCCGCCTCGCGTCCTCGGGTGGGGGTCGCTCGAAGCAAAACAACGTTCTCGATGCCAGCTTGGGGGTCCCCAAACCATGCCGCGACAGACCGTGCAGTGACCTCGGAACCCCACGAGACCTTACCGCGCGGTCCGTCACTGCACGGTGTTGGGGCCCCGGAGGAGAATGACGCAAGTCCCAGAACAGTGCGTCCACCCCGAATCGCACTGTCTCGCCACAAGGTGTTGTCACCGCACCTTCTGAGGGCCCCGAGCGGCTTTCTACCAGCTCTTCGGCTCCCAGGGGGAGGGGGGTTGTTCTCGGGCCGCGTCGGGCCATCATCAAAAGTGAGAGGATGACCCTGGGGAAGGATCCGGGAACTCCATGTGGCCGACGGAAATGAACGGGCCTTCCGCGAGAAGGCATGGCGACCTTGCGCCGCGGCTCACGCGGGACGCCAGCGTGGCACGCCACACTGGAGACGAGGGCGCTCACGCGCGACCTTGCGCGGGAAGCCTGCGCGCCCATGTCGGTGAAGACGGCCCCGTTTTTCTGCGTCCCTCATGCGGAAGAGAGCACTTCGTCGAATGTCTGGGTCGGCAGGCCCGCAGCAGCCTGGGGCTGCCCCGGCCGCCAGGGCAGCCAGCGCCACAGGCGCGGGGGGCCCCCGGCGCCGGCCGCCGCCGCGCCCGGGCCGCGGCGAGGCCATGCGCACGCGAGTGCGTGAGGAAGAGGCCTGGCGTTGGAGGCGGCCAGGTCTGGCCTGGATGGGCCTCGAGAACATCTGCCAAGAGGTGGGGAGGGAAGCGACTCCGCCCAGAATCGCTTTCTGGACCCCTCCTGGGGTCCATCTGGTGTGGTTTCTCACCCGAGATCCGCCCCCTGTCGAGCCCAGCACCTCGAACCTGTCGCCCTTTCTTCCTGCTCACTGGAGCGAGTGCTGGGCGACCTCAGACCCCCAGCCAGCTCCTAGCCAGACCCTCGTCGCGCGGTCTTCGTTACGCTATATCTTCGGGGAGGCCTCCCTGCCCCATCGCGCCATGTCGTGCCCGTCGTCGAGCCCGTGCCGGATTACACGCCGGGTCCGCGTCGAGTCAGTGTCAAATCCGCACCAAGCCGCTGTAGGATACAAGAGAACACCGCAACGTACAAGAGAGACACATCCTGCCCCCCCCCCCCCCCCCAAACAAAAAATGCAACGTAACGTAAATCTACGGGCAGCCCGCGGCAAAGCTTGGGCCAAACCTCTCTGGCCCGCCCTGGCTTCCGTCCTGCCCGCTGGGGCTGTCACGTGCACCGAAGAGGGCTCCCGACACGCCTCGCACCACCGGCCTGCACACGCCGCGGCCGCCGGGCCCACGGTGTGCTGCTGCTCCCTGCTGAACGCTTGCTTTCTCGGCGTTTCGACACTGGGCGAGAGGGGGGGGGAGGAAGGGGGGGCATCTGGCTCAGGACCTCTGCTCGATGAGACTCCACCTGCTTGAAACAGGCGCCAAAAACAGCCAAGACCTACTCCAACGGAGAGGGGGGGAGAGGGTGCGAGGGTCCTCACCGATCGGCGAAACAAAGAATAAGAAAACAATCTCCTGGGGATCCCGCGAGGGGATCGCTCGAAGCTAAAAAACTTGTCCTTGCTCTTTCTTTCTTTCTTTATTTCTTTCTTTCTTTCTTCATTTATTTCTTTATTTCTTTTCCTCTCTCTCTCTCTCGCTTTCTCATTGCCCCTGTCTCTCCTTCTCTCCCTCGCGGGGCAGCACCGACCCTCGGGAGCCCAGGGCGCGGCGCGGATCGCACGGGCGACTCTGGGCAACCTCCCTGCCTCCGATGACGACCCACAGGCCTTCGCAGGCTTGCACAGAACGAGAAAAAGCAGCACGCACACACTTCTTTCCTGCGGCGGCGAGGCAGAGTTAGATGCTCATTCTGAGGACCTTCCTGGAGCCACTCGCTCCACTCGTGCGTCGAAGCTGCGTCGAACCTGAGTAGAACCTGAGTCGAAGCTGAGTCGAACCTGAGTCGAATCTGAGTCGAACCTGTGTCGAACCTGAGTCGAACGTGAGTCGAACAGATCCATTAGGTGGGCCCCAGGAAGGTCCCCAGAACGAGCATCGAGGCAGAGGTATACTGCGCCAGGAGTCCAGCACATCGGGGCTACCGAAGAGCGGATTGCCCAGCAGGCAGGCGGAGAGACTGAGACAGACGGAGCGGCCGCGGAGGCTGAGGAAGAGGGACAGCACGCAAACACACACACACACACACGCATCCCCCCCCCCCCCACACAGACACACACACACACACACACACACACACACACACACACACACACACACACACGCACGCACGCACTCACCACGCACGCACGCACGCACGCACGCACGCACGCACGCACGCACGCACGCACGCGCGCACGCACACACACACACACACGCACCACGCACGCACGCACGCACACACACACACACGCACGCACGCACGCACGCACGCACGCACGCACACACGCACGCACGCACGCACGCACGCACGCACGCACGCACGCACGCACGCACGCACGCGCGCGCGCGCACGCGCACGCCGCGCACGCGCACGCACACGCACACGCACACGCACACACACACAGGATTCTTCTCATCCTGATCCTCCTCCTTCCTCCTCCTCCTCCTTCCTCCTCCTCCTCCTCCTCCTCCTCCTTCTCCTCCACAGTCTGGTTGATTCGTGGCGTTGGGGTCCCAAGAATGGTGACCTAACACGCTCCAAGATCTTCAGACGGTTATCTCCAAATGGGGCACTTTCCACAATGGAACTGAACCCTTGGAGGGGCAAATGAGAAGGGAGCTTGGGGGGAGGCCTTATCCCAACATCATAGACTGGTCTTCCTCCTCCTCTTCCTCCTCCTCGCCTTTGAGGTGCAGCGTTAGTGCGGGGACCTGGCTCAGGGGCGGGGACATGGACCTGTAATCGGCGACAACATCGCCGAAAGCTCGGTGACATGCCCCGTCGACAGCAAATCCGCACGTGTTCTGGGCAGGGTGGGCTATCGGGCCCCCATCGGCGACCAATGGGCGACTGGGGGTCGATGCTTCCACAAAGACAGGACGAGGATAAATTCGGACGAGGATAGATCGAGAATCTCTGAGAGCTGGCGGCGCTGGAAGATGTCTCGAGCGCCGCAGCCTTCTCATAGCGTTCTGGAACACTCTGATAGCGTTCCGGAACGCTCTGGAGAGGATGTATCTTTGTTCGAACCCCGCCTGATCCCGCTTCAGCTGGCTTTCGGGTCACACATCGGGCCTCTGGTGGCCGTTCGGGATCATCCTGGGCACCTCTGGGCGCCTCTCGGCGAGGCGCAGCTGCTGGAGATCATCTCGCGACTGGAAGATCGCCGAGAACTGCTACCGGCAACACCCGCAAGCCTCAAACCTCGAACCTGTCGTGCCCCCCCCCCCCCCCGTGAGCCTGTCCCCCTCTCTCACGTCGCCCCTGAGCCTCGGAAGAAGGAGCCTCGGAGGGAGGAGGGAGGAGGGAGGAGGAGAAGAAGGAGCAGGAGGAGGAGGAGGAAGAAGAGGAGGAGGAGGAGGAGGACCACGGCCCATTGCTGACTCGGCCCAACTGATGGGCCCTCCTCGCCTCTGTGTGCGCCGCTTCCCGGCCTGGACGCGGGCGCCCGAGGAGCCAGGCGAGCAGTGGTTTGCACCGGGCGACGGCACACTCGGGGTAAGGATGTGCCCGTCTGAGTTGGAGAGGGGGGGGGAGGGCGAGGAAGCAGGGGTGGGAGGAGTTTTTTTTTTGCTGTGGACGACTGCCGGCTAAGCTCTCGAAAGGACTAACAAGCAGGCTTAAAATATAAGAGAATTGAGCGGGCACACGGGGCCCTGGCAGTTCACGAACTTCACCGCGGCCCAGACAATTACGAGCTTTGCATGGCAAGCACTACCGGCAAGAGCGGCACTGCGACGTGCGCGCCCGCGGCGAGCAGCCGAGAAGCTGCACGCACCACGGGTGCAACGAGCCACGGATGTTCCCGTAGCACGGCTAGCACTTCCACGCAGTCCGAAAACCGATTGAGCAGCTCGCAGTCTTCGCTGCGAATGGTAAACTGCGCCGAATTCGCTGCCTCAGACTGACCATCGCCGACCACATTGGATCCTAGATGGCTGCCTCGATAGGGGGGGGGAGGGGGGAGAGGGGGGAGGGGGAAAGGGGGAGGAGGGAGGGCAAGGAGGTGGGAAACAACTCCTGGGAGGTCCCTGTAAGGGCCACTGAGCAAGATTGGCCCAAAATTAAGCCTGGGATTCAGCCGTGTTCAGCGGGACTCAGCGGGATGTGGGGCTGGTTTTCGACCACGGATGTTCCAACGCCGACTCTGAGTTAAACCTCCCATAACCTGTACCCCTTCGCGTCGTGAGTAAAACCTTGACTGGAAATGTTCGCTAAATTTCGGTGTCTGGGGGGCCCTGCCCCCGGGGGCTCGGCATGGAAGCGGGTTCCCGGGGAGGGTTCCAGACTTCAGGGGGCCTACACTGCGACAAGTAACATGTACACGATGTGCTCCCCTTCTCTTCCTCCTGTTCCTGCCCCCATCTCATTTTTCTTCCCGTGATGCTTCTCCTTCTTCTTGCTATTGTTTGTGCTCTTGCTCTCCTGCTCCTCATTATCCTCCGCTTCCTCTCTGCAAGCTGCAGCTGAAAAAAGAGCCCACCCCGAGTTAAATCTGGAGAAGGCCCTCCAGGAAAGCCCCCGCGAGAGCCGAGCCAGGCCTCTCGAGCAAGAGCCCCCCCTCTCTTCGGAAAGGGAGGCCTCTCCGTGGAGGCGACCT